TAGACCAAACAAAGTTTTTTCCTAGAACCATATGTCCAAAACAAGTACCATTTCAAATAATCCATATTGTCACTGTCTGTCCAAAACCTTGTATCCCTAAAATGGTAGCTTTAAACATTTTTAACATTATTAATTGTAAAGTTAATCTAACAAGATTATTTTCAAAATAATTTGTCCTGTTTTTGTTCTCTTGGTCTGCTCATCATGAGATTTTAACACAAAGAAAATGGTGCATTTCCTGAAGAAAATATAGAGTGATGGTGCAGCTTAGGCAGTTCCCAGGTGCTTGCTATGGTATCCCAGGTGGTTGCTAGGGTGTTGCTAGGTGGTTGCTATGGTATCCCAGGTGGTCGCTAGAGTGTTGCTAGGTGGTTGCTATGGTATCACAGGTGGTTGCTAGAGTGTTGCTAGGTGGTTGCTATTGTAACCTAGGTGGTTGCTAAAGTGTTGATAAGAAGTTGCTATGGTATCCCAGGTGGTTGCTAGAGTGTTGCTTGGTGGTTGCTATGGTATCCCAGGTGGTTGCTTGAGTGTTACTTGGTGGTTGCTATGGTATCCCACATGGTTGCTAGGGTGTTGCTTGGTGGTTGCTATTGTATCCCAGGTGGTTGCTAGGGTGTTGCTAGGTGGTTGCTATGGTATCCCAGGTGGTTGCTAGAGTGTTGCTAGGTGATTGCTATGGTATCCCAGGTGGTTGCTAGAGTGTTGCTAGGTGGTTGCTATTGTAACCCAGGTGGTTGCTAGTGTTGCTAGGTGGTTAGCTAACTGCTAACATTAAAACATATTAAACACCGCGTTCACAGCCCAGTTTATTAATAACTTACTTTATTTATGTAACTGTTGTATTAAAGCAATAGAACACTCGAGGTCAAGTGTTATCGCCAATAACATCAAGGCTGTGATGATCTACGGCGACCAAATCACAGCCGTGATGTTATTTGGTGATAACACACTCCCTCTCATGTTCTATTGCTGAAATAGCTCGACCAGTTTGCACTGAAATCACATTATAAATGTCTTTGCCTTACACTCTCAGTTTAATCATATATCTTACACTTTACTGGGTTTTCACACATACTGCGTTTGGTCCTCAAACCTTGTGAAATCCCAAGACTGTGTTACCTGAGCTGCAGTGTTTTACCTGCCGGAACATGCTCTGTTACCACAGCAACACAGTAGACCAAGCTGGCAAACAATGCAAATCTTTAAGCAACAAAAAACAACAACATTTCAGCCTGGCTTCTATTCTCTTGAGAAATGTCTTTTCGGCAGCGAGTGATGTCATTGGTCCATCCCAACAGAATTTGGTTCTGCCAGACAGGAGGAACAGAAGGGAGGTGAGGAACAGCTGTTCAGAGACACTGTGTTTTTTCTGGGAACTCAAACCGATCAAATCCACACTGACGGCTTTAACCATCAACCAAAACTCAGGCGCTCTTCTCACTAAAGTAAAGGCCACCTCTCACATGGAACCGTGAAATGTCATCCTCTCAGCTCAGTAAGTTCTAAACCCATTCAGGGTGACCATCAACCATCTCAGCTGGAGCTCTGGAAATATCTCTGTTCTTCTTTGGGGTGCAAACTGACCAGTCCCACCTCAACCTAAATCTGAGCCTCAGTTTCTTCTCTTGCTGGAGTGAAGGTCACTTTAAGGCCACCTTTAAGCACTTTCAGGACAAGTATAAAATGTCCAGACTTCTAAGACTTCTTAGTTTCTTTTCTTGCTGGAGTAAAGATCAAACTGCTCCACTGGTACTCTGGAAACTCTCTAGCGTTAGTTTGGGTGACCAACCTTAAACTTCACTCTACATCTCGTCTTTATTCTTACTAAAGTAAGGATCACTCTCCTGTGTTAAAGATGCACCGATCAGTGTTTTTGGGGCCCATATTGATGGCTAATTGTCTTCCGTCTTGAGGGCGGAGCTGGATGCCACATTTACAGGCACAGTGAGCGATTATGGAGAACGACTGATGATATTTGAACTCAACAGCAAAACAAATATACCCCTCCCTTCAGTGCTCCTTCAGAAGCTCCGCCCTCCAAATTCATGGATGCGCATTGCCAAGGCGAACGATACTGGGCTAGAAAACTTGTTGTTTTAGATCTTCATGGCCATAAATTTCTTCGCAAAAGTTGTGCAGACAAATACCATGATGTAAAGATAAAGAGAATAACACCACAACAAGTAATGTAACGTTAACTAAGTGCTAAACACTTGCTACCACAAACATCAGCAAACAGAACAAAACAGTACTGATCTATTGGTTCTGTGAAACAGCAAAAATAAGTTAATGTTGCCCACCAGTAAAGCAGAAACAGAGCAGCCTCCTCATCCCTTTTCTTACCTTTCAATATCATGTCATGAAGTTAGTGCAGTCATTAAGATTAGCGCATGGAAGCTAACATGCTATCAGAAACAAACCCTTAAAGCTTTGACACCAACACATGAATTAATTAATTAATTAATATACTTTAGGAAAAATGTTTTTCATTAGTGAAATAGATCTGACAAGGCTGAAGTCGGCTTCCTTTTCACAAGCTTCTTGTTTGAATTTTCCCATTCCACCTTAAATGGTGCAGCAGTTTCGTTCTGGCACCTCAGGCGATATATGGCTCATATGTTTTATGTCACTGATCAGCTCTAAGGATTGGCCAAGTGAGAGAAATATCGGCCGATCGCATATTTGGGCTGTAGATCAGCCACTACCGATACATAGCTGCTCGATCGTTCCATCTCTACCCTGGATAATCGCAAGACTCATATAGTCACAGACACAGACAGTGGCTCTTAGACCACCACCACAAAGGTCACTTTTCATGTGAAAAAGTTCAAAATCCATTTAGAACCATAAAACATCTCCACAAGTGTCCTGGAAATATCTCTGTTCTTCTTAGGGGTCTCACCTCAACCTCAATCCAAATTTTTGGTTTCTGCTCTTGCAGGAGTAAAGATCACCTGCAAGACATGTTCAGAATGACCATAAACCTCTCAGACACAAAGTCCTTCCAACAACAATCCCATCACAACACATTTCAGTCTAATCCTAACCATAGTTTATCTTCTACTTTCCTCCTAGCGTCAAGCTCAGGCTGTTTTTCGGATTGAATAATCAACGCTGACCCTAATCTAAGTGTTACTAAGTAAATGTACAAGGCACAGCCAGGACAAATACAAAACTTCTCAGACACAAAGTTGGGTTCTTAGAGAACCAGTTGAGCCACTTTACAACAACTTTAATCCAAATAATCCATGAACTTTAATCCGAAATATCTTACTATGCACAGTACACCGTATACTGCATCAGTATATACTGTATACTGCATGCTACTCTTCATCAGTAGTATACGGTACAGTATCCAGTGTACAACAAAAGCCGTGTGCCATACACAACTAAAAAAGGTGGTTCTTCAAGGGTTCTTTAGTAAAGACACTGGTATACGGAACCATATATGGAACCATGAACACTAAAAGAACCATTTCCATGATTAAAGAATTCTCTGCATCATGAAAGCGTTCTATAGATTGATGGAGAATGTGTTGCGTATGGTTCTATATAGCAACAAAAACGGTTCTTCTGTTGTTACAAGCTAGACATCGTAACAATATGAAAAAAGAACCTTTTGGTGTTATATAGAACCCTTTTCAAACAAGTTCTATATAGAACCATACACAACACATCCTACATCAATCTGAAGAACCGTTTCACCATGCAGAGGGAGTTCATGGTTCTATATAGAGACTAAAGAACACTTGAAGAACCATCTTTTTTAGTGTATGGTTATTGATGGAGAACGTGTTTTATGTGGTTCATTTTAGCACCAAAAAGGGTTAGGAGTTTTCTGTTGTTATAAAGCTTGACATCATAACAATAGAAGAACCCTTTTTGGTGCTATGTAGAACTCTTTTCAAAAAGGTTCTATATAGAACCATCTACAGCGCATTCTCCATCAATCTGAAGAACAATTTTACAATGCAAAGAACCATTTAAGCATGCAAGGGGATCTTTGAGTGTTCACGGTTCTATATAGAACATTTTTCTTTACCAAAGAACCCTTGAAGAACCATCATTTTTCAGAATATACTACAGGACAGCGGTGCGACTAGCCTGTCAACATCTGGCCAATCAGAATCATCTCAAGACCCATTTTCCTTAGCCCTTCAATCACTGCTTAGCAACCGTTGCTAGCCACATTTCAGCATGCATGTTTACATATTGGTCACTGTGTGACTTTTAAAAGAAACCCCATACAGCGAAAGAGGGCAGGATGCTGTTTTCTTCCATCTCCTAAGCCGAAAATGGACTTCATAACACTCGTACTTGGTAATATGATGGTTTGACCGAATAATAAGCAGTGTGACCAAGGCCAGCAGACAGAGCTGGTGTGGCTTCAGAGTTAGACTGAGTGCAGCAGCTTTTGGACAAATGTCTCTCATTTTGCTGTATTAATGTAAAGACAGGCTGAATCCAGGGCTGTTGAAAATATCCAGGCGCTTACGTCAGTGTTTACATCCTCTTGGACTGACTATTTCTCCAGAGCAGTGTATCATCTGGTATTTGGCATACTGTAGAAATTCATGTTGCTCACATACATCGTACGACTCACTACTTTTGGCATGAGCAGTATGTAGAATGTTAATTCTAACACGGCCTCACCCTTTGCCTGGATAACTGTAAACATTTCAGACACAAAGTTGGACCCTTGGATGACCGCTCCCACCCCAACACCTTTAACCCTACTCGAAGTGTCAGCATCTCTTCTTGTGGAGTAAAGGTCACTTTTTGCCTGGAAAAGTGCAGAACCCATTTAGAACCACAGAACTAGTCTGTTCTGCTCTGGAAACTGTTCTTCTCCGGGTTGCAAATTGAACAATGTCGCCTGAACACCTCCACATTTTATTCTACCCTTTTGGCCAGAGGGGAATCGAACAGTCCTCCCCCTCTTCCTGCTGGAATGAAGGTCACCTTTCACCTGAAGAAGTTCAAGACCCTCTGGGATCTTAGACCGCATCCTCCTGATCACTTCCATTCCCATGTTGCATCTCGCTCTCAGAGCCAACAAACTCAGGCTTGTCCTTCTCCTCCCACTCGCTCTCAGTGACGATGCCGGACATGGTGCTGTTTGCAAGGCAGGTGGACGTGCTGGTGTCTGTGCTGGCGGCAGAACCCCTGCTAGCCACTGTTCCTGAGCTGGTCATGTTCCCAGTGCTGGCGTTGTCAAAGCTGGTGGTGGATCCCACAGTCACCCAACTTTGGAGGCACTGTGGGAGGAACCGGGGAAGTTCTTCTTGGAGCTCTCTGGAGCGTAGACCGTACACCACAGGGCTGAGGGACTGGGCGATGCTGAACACCAGGAAGGTGGCCACGGCAACTGGTAGCGTTTGTTGCATGCGGGTGATGATGATAACTTTGGGCAAAATGTGCAAGGTCATCTGCAGACTGTGGATGAGGATGGTACGGCGGCCCTTGCTGTTGGACTGGGAGAAGTGTCCGGCGCGGTGGCCTTCGAGGTAGATCAACAAGTAGCTGCCGATGATGAGCAGGACCATGAGGGTCAGCAGCAGAAGAGCGCTGACAATGCAGGCTTGGCTCTCCAGAGCAGTAGAGCACTTAGTGTCCAGACCAATCACGTAGTCCCAAGGCTGATGGATGCAGGCCAGGACGGTGAAGACCACGGGGTTGACCAAAGCCAGCAGCCAGGTGAGGAGCAGGACCCAGCAGAAGGAACGCCGGATCAGCACGGGGTAGCGAAGTGGCTGGCAGATGGACAGGCAGGTGCACATGCACATCAGGGTCAGGGTCATGGTCAGGCCGCGGGCCATCACCACCTGCAGACAGCAAACAAAAACAAAATATCTTAGAATTTTTTAAATATTGTGAAAGATCATTCAAATTTGATTCTAAGTCACGATTCCTATCAGAATTCCTGATGTTGAAGATGTAAACATTTGGTAGATTCAGCTGCACTCTTAAAAAGGATGGTTCTTCAAGGGGGCTTTAGTAAAGAAAGTGGTTCTATATAGAACCATGAACACTCATAGAACCATTTGCATGATTACAGGGTACTTTGCATCATGAAAGCGCTTTTCAGATTGATGGAGAACGTTTAGCACCAAAAAGGGTTCTTCTATTGTTATGATGTCAAGCTTGTAACAATAAATCTCTTTTTGGTGCTATATAGAACCATATATAAAAAGGTTCTATACAGAACCATATATAACATATTTTCCAACAATTTGAAGAATGCTTTCATGATGCAAAGTACCCTATAATAATGCAAAGGGTTCTTTGAATGTTCATGGTTCTGTATAGAATCATTTTCTTCACTAAAGAACCCTTGAAGAACCGTGTTTTTGATTGTGTAGAACTGGACTGAGTATTGGAAGAACCGATTGGTTAAAGAGCTGACGTTGATACCTGCAGGTCAAAGAGGATCCAGCAGGTGAGGCGAGTGGTGGGCCAGTGGAGGGAGCGCAGGCCGTGCAGGACGGTGCCGGCCGCGTTAAAGCCGGAGATACAGGCACAGTGCTGGCACAGCAGGATGTACCGTGCGTTCTGCCGGAGGTCAAGAGAGCCGAAAACAGTCACTGTGATTAGATACGTGAAGAGTCCAGTGGCTACAAAAGCCACAGAGTGAACGCAGGCTTTGACTGCATCCAGAACCCGGGGGCTCTCAGAGCTCGAGGAGCTGTTCAGAAATCCTGACAACAGAACAGAGGAACACGTTCACCGCTGTTCAAAAGCTCAGAGTCAGGGTTCTCACTGATATACGGTACTTCACTGACTTAACTCATCCTAAAAACCTCACAGATCTCTGATCATCAGCACGAAGGACAAACAGAGCTGTAGAACATTCTAAAATTACTGAGAAACCTGTAGAACATCAACAATGAAATTAATACTCACAGAGTTCTACTACAATTAACATCCAGAATGAAGTTCTAATAAACTTAATATTAAGTTCTAATAAAATTAATATCCAGAATGAAGTTCTAATAAAATTAATATTAAGTTCTAATCTAATTTAATATCCAGAATGAAGTTCTAATAAAATTCATATCCAGAATGAAGTTCTTATAAAAATAACATCCAGAATGAAGTTCTAATAAAATTAACATCCAGAATCAAATTCTAATAAAATTGATATCCAAATTTAAGTTCTAATAAAATTAATATCCAGAATGAAGTTCTAATTAAATTAACATCCAGAATGAAGTTCTAATAAAATTAACATCCAGAATGAAGTTCTAATAAAATTAATATCCAGAATCAAATTCTAATAAAATTGATATCCATATTTAAGTTCTAATAAAATTAATATCCAGAATGAAGTTCTAATAAAATTAACATCCAGAATGAAGTTCTAATAAATTAATATCCAGAATGAAGTTCTAATAAAATTAATATCCAGAATCAAATTCTAATAAAATTGATATCCGTATTTAAGTTCTAATAAAATTAATATCCAGAATGAAGTTCTAATAAAATTAACATTCAGAATGAAGTTCTAATAAAATTAACATCCAGAATGAAGTTCTAATAAAATTGATATCCATATTTAAGTTCTAATAAAATTAATATCCAGAATGAAGTTCTAATAAAATTAATATCCAGAATGAAGTTCTAATAAAATTAACATTCAGAATGAAGTTCTAATAAAATTAACATCCAGAATGAAGTTCTAATAAAATGAAATCCAGAATCAAATTCTAATAAAATTAACACTCAGAATGAAGTTCTAATAAATTAATATCCAGAATGAAGTTCTAATAAAATTAATATCCAGAATCAAATTCTAATAAAATTGATATCCATATTTAAGTTCTAATAAAATTAATATCCAGAATGAAGTTCTAATAAAATTAACATCCAGAATGAAGTTCTAATAAATTAATATCCAGAATGAAGTTCTAATAAATTAATATCCAGAATGAAGTTCTAATAAAATTAATATCCAGAATCAAATTCTAATAAAATTAATATCCAGAATGAAGTTCTAATAAAATTAACATCCAGAATGAAGTTCTAATAAAATGAAATCCAGAATCAAATTCTAATAAAATTAACACTCAGAATGAAGTTCTAATAAAATTGACATGCATGTAAAATAACAATTACTCTGTTATAACACAACATTGTTACTCTGCTATAACACAACACTGTTACTCTGTTATAACACAACACTGTTACTCTGTCATGAATCTGGCAAAGCACACAGAAATTAGTTCTCAACTCAAACCACACCACATTAATGTTTATACAACATGTTCATCTTTCTCTAAATTAATCTCAGCTTATTGTTTATTAACAACCAGAAAATCAGCATTGTTACCATGATATTAACACGTGATTAATAAAACTGTTCTTCCTGATGACCGCTGACACAGACGGACAAGCTGCAGTCGATAAAATGCATCTGAGCAGATGCTGCTCTGTGTACAGACAGGACGCTCTTAAAAACATGGTGCTTCAAGGGTTCTTTAGTAAAGAAAATGGTTCTATATAGAATCATGAACATTTAAAGAACACTTTGCATGATTAAAGTCTCTTTGCATCATGAAAGTGTTCTTCAGATTGATGGAAACTGTGCACAAATGTGCTGTGGATCATTCTATACAGCACCTACAAGGCTTCTTCTACTGTTACAATGTCAAAACTGTGTTTATATATAATAATATAATTGCATTCATCACTGCGATGTGTGCACATCTGAGAAAATGAAGAAGTGTCACACTCACCTGCCTGCAGCTCTAAAGGTAAATCCATATCACGGCTGAGATTAGACATCTCTCCGCGTCCTCTCTCTTCTGCTGGAATTAAGTGAGGAACCTCATCCCTCCTCAGCAGCGCAGGCTCCTGCCTTTATACGCTGCAACCTTAAACCCACGCGCCCCGGCGCTCAGAGCTGGACTTAACCAAGTCCTCAGCTTCATCCCTCTGAATAACCGCTGCTCCTGCTGTTGTCACGCAGCAGGAATGAAAGCAGGTTCAACTCTGACTGAGGAGACTCTGCTGCCTGACTTAATCGCATGCTGAAAGCCCACCCAGCAAGGGTGGCAATCCACTGACCGAACAAAAGGGTCTTGGGGGGCTTCAAAGTGATTGACATCTAAAGAAATAATGACGGGAAAAATATTCCACTTCTGAGAAGCAGCACTGCACGTTTACCACATAAACCTCGGTAAAAGCAACCTGCCATTCAGAGCAATTTAATGACGTGAAAGAACAGCGTGTACGGTGGGGTCTGGGGGTCTGACAGCAGGTGGGGAACAGGGTTCTAGGCATGCTTCTAGCAGAGTTGATTACTGTAATGATCTCCTAACTGGACCCTATTTAAGCACCTTCAGCTGAATAAAAATGCAGCTGTCAGTCACATCACCCCCATCCTTACACCTTTACACTGGATACCAGTCTGATAAAAAGATGGTTCTTCAAGGGTTCTTTAGTAAAGACAGTGGTGCTCTGTAGGACCATGAACACTCAAAGAACCAGTTGCATGCGTAAATGGTCTGCATGGTGAAATGGTTCTTCAGATTGATGGAGAATGTGTTGTATATGGTTCTTCATAGCACTGAAAAGTGTTCTTCTACTGTCACAAGCTTGATATTAAGGGTTCTTTGCATGGTGGAAGGGTTCTTCAGATGGACGGAGAATGTGCTGTATATGGTTCTACGCAGAACCTTTTTGAAAAGGGTTCTTCTATTGTTAAAAGCTTGACATTATAACAATAGAAGAGCCTTTTCAGGATGCAAAGAACTCTTTAATTATGCATAAAGTGTTCCTGGTTCTATACAGAACTATTTGTTTACTAAAGAACTCTTGAGGAACCATCTTTTTTAAAATGTATATGATTCTATATAGCACCAAAAAGTGTCCTATTGTATACAAGCTAGACTTTGTAACAACAGAAGAACCTTTTTTTTTTTACATAGAACCATTTTCAAGGAGGTTCTATAAATCTCATGTTGAATGTGTTTTCTGATGCTGAAAAATGAATAACTTGTACTTAATTCCTGTTTTGACTGGAAATTAAATAAATGATTGGTGGTCTAATTAGTTCATTGTGTTTAATTGCACACATACAGGTTATATAATCCCCATAGAAAAGCACTGACCAATAGAATGGGACACTCTGGAGCAGCTGCAGATCACATGATCCTAAGGTCTCCATGCTCAATGTCCAGCCTGGGCTAAAGGAGTATAAAGCCCCCCCAGCATTGGGCTGTGAAGCAGTGGAACTGCATTCTCTGGAGTGATGGAGCTCCATCCAAAACCTTTGGGATGAGTTGGAGTGACCCAGAACTGACCATCCAACATCAGTACCTGACCTCAGTAATGCTCAATCAAACCCTCACAGCAATGTTCCAACATCTAGAAGCCTTCGAGAAGAGTAGAGGCTGTTGCTGCAGCACAAACTCACTATTAATACCTTCATTTCAGAAGAAAGGCCAGAGCGCAGGTGATCAGGATCACTCCCGCAGGTGCTGCTTTAAACACCTGCAGATGCTTTAATAATCATAAAGCTGCAGGTGAGGAACAGAACAGAACCCGATTGGATTGTTCTGCTATTCAGATGAACAAATAAAATTTAAACCCTTTGTTCAAACAAGCGTACAGCAATTAAACTTCTCAGTTTTATTTATGAAGGAAGAAAAACTCATGAAAAAGAATAGAACGTCTCCATAGCAACAATGTTTAATCATAAAAATAACAAAAATGATCAATAAAAAAGTTTCATTAGCCCTAAAATAATAATATTATCGTTTAGATATAAGGCAGAACACAAAAATGCATTTATTAGCGGGATAAAGAGTGAAGAGCAGTCCAACGTCTCATTAGGAAAGAGTGCAGACTGTTCTGAGGACAAACCTCAGGCCAACTCGGTATACAGCACAATATGTCTGTATGATATGCAGAGGAATTCGTGCCAGATTGAAACGCAAACGGTGCAAAACATGAAATGTAATGCACACATAACATTACTGTTCCATAGTGAGATGCAGAACCAGCCAAAATGAAAAACAAACCCTCTTTGATTACACCGCTTATCTCTTCGCTAAAAAACAGCACATGTCGATTTACATTTTAAAAACTAAATCTGAATTTGTGTCAGAATTGAATAAAATCTTCTCTAAAATGTAATAAATTCACAGCTATACTGTTTTCAACTGTGCAGCAAATAAAAACAGCATTAAATCAGAGTAATCTGGATCTGTTACTGTTCATTTTGGCACGTTTTCTGCATGTTACTGTTGACTTGAGGACCAAACACCATCGCCACCTGACCTGAGGGTCCAAACAAAGCCAACCTGTTAATGAATCTGCTTTAGGAATTTGTAGACAGACAGATAAAGATGCACCTCAAAGCTGACAGGATTTGGGGATTTTAATCATTACAGTATGAAGCAGCTCTCAGCAGCAAAAACATCAGCATCTCTGAGACTGACTGAGCAGCTGCTGACTTTTAGCTGATTTGCTGATATTTACAAGGTCTGGACTTTTGCAGTACCATTAACATCAGATTATTGAAGATGACACGTAGGTGAACAAAATATTTTGAGAAAGAAATTCTGAAAATGAAAATCCAAACTTTGAATGCACTCTGTGGTTAAACTGGACAGAAGTTTACGTGAAAGTAAAATGTGAAATGCACACTTAACATCACGGTTCTATAGTGAGATGCAGAATATGCCAAAATGAAAAACAAACTTCTATTACATTGATTTAACATCGCTTTACTTCTTAAAACAGCACATGACGGTTTACATTTAAAAACTAAATGCTGGATTTATGTTAGAACTGTATACAATCATCTATAATATATAATTCACAGCTATACTGCTTTCCACTGTACGGCACTTAAAACAACATTAAATCAGTGTAATTGATCTGTTACTGTTCATTTTGGCACGTTTTCTGCATGTTTCTGTTTAAATGCAGTCTAATGTTCACTGCATTTCACTGCTTTGGTTGCATTTCAATGAAGCTAATACATTTGAAGTGCATAAAAGAGATGAAAACAGTGTAGTGGGGGTTTTGCTTTTCACTTTGGCTCGTTTTCTGCATGTCACCTGTGGAAAAGTGATGTCATGCATTGATTTCACTGTTTTCACTGTTATGACTGCATTTCAAAGAGGCAAATCTGTTTAAAGTGCACAGTGGAAAGCAGAATAGTTGGCATTCATTACATTTTAAAGAGAACTGTATTCAATTCTGACAGGAATTTAGTATTTGTTTCTCAGTAAAGATATAAAATGATGGTAGATCAGTGTAATACAGGCTTTGGTTTTCATTTTGGCTGGTTCTGCATCTCACTATGGAACAGTAATGTCATGTGTGCACTGAAGTTTACGGTTTTTATACTTACAGTAGTGTGAGAGTTAGAAATACAGTGATAAAAAGGTGCTGCACTGAATTGATTTGATTCAAAACTGTTAATTCAATGTGTAATGTATTTTATTTGTGTAAAAATGATGTTCACATTTGAATAAAATCAATTCAGTTCAGCACTTTTTTCAGTGCAGGCTGATTTCATTCATAGAAGTTTGTAAACTTAGCTCTACAGGCTCCGCCCACAAATGTGTTCTTTCATACCTACTGAAGTTGGACGAGCTTTACAGAACACCGGTAAAAATGCAATGAATGAATAACTGATGATATAAACTGAGTCTGTTCTACAGTTTCTCATTAGGCTGAATGAATAACTGACTCTAAATGTAGGTATTGTGATATAAACTGAGTCTGTTCTACAGTTTCTCATTAGGCTGAATGAATAACTGACTCTAAATGTAGGTATTGTGATATAAACTGAGTCTGTTCTACAGTTTCTCATTAGGCTGAATGGGATTTTCACCTGCGTTCCTGTAAAGCTTGTACATCCTCTACAGCACCTATAAGCACTGTGGAGCTTGGACAGGTCAATTCTTCACTTCAGTCCATTTCTAGGCTCAGTGGTCCAGTCCCCATGCCCATACACAGCGTCCATCCTTAGGCCTGAAAAACCTGGACCAGCACTGGTTGTTTCACTCTTCAGTTTCCGGCGGCTGATCTGTTTCTGTAGCTGCAGTTTGTTGGTGAAGAAAACAGTTCTCCAGCCCACTTCCCTGGCCAAATCCTCCATCCCAGCGGTGACCGTGTCGCAGTGCATCCTCACCGTCTGCTCCCAGAACTCCTCTGAGCTGCAGAGCTGGAAATAATGCAGATCAAAGGAAGGTATTGTGTGAAAAGTCACACAGAAATCTTTCAAGTACCATTATTTTAAGCCCTTGCTCAATAATTTTCATCAAGTGACCAGCTTATTACGTCCAATTATCCACACTTATTGGCCACTTTCTCAGAAAAGCCCACCGTATAGCATGCTGTTTAAGATTAATCAAGACGCTGAAGCAACCTGTGACAGGTGTCAGCAACGCAATGGCAATTTATATAATACGCTTTGCACTTGCTATTCATTACACTCTGTCTAGACAGCAATAGTTACAGCACTACCTGAATGTGGTCAGTTGCCTTTTCGCAAGTGAGATTTTGTTCTCTTTGTGACAGTTCTCTTTGTTAGACGCTTGATTCTCTTAACGCTTTGGGTTCTGTGGTCATTCTCTCTCTTAATTTGTTCATCTCTTCTTAAACTCTCCTTTAAAGGCTCTTCATATATCATGATCCTCATATGTTTCATATCTAAATACTTTCCAAAACCGCTACAGCAGCTTCAGCAGCTGTAAACTCTCTGCACTCCATTTCACATGAGTCTCCGATGTGGACTGAATAAAGAATGAAGGGTTTCCGGCGTGATGGTCAGTCCTTAGTGATTTCCTGAGTGTCCATTGGTCAGTTTCACACAGAATGTAAACGGACACACGAATCCACCAATTCCACACGGTAAAAGGGCAGATGACGTGTATCTCAGCCCCTCTTCATAGGCTCATTACTCCGGATGTGAGTCTCGTATGATCTCGTGATAAGATGGAATGGAAAGGGCGACTCTACAGATTCAGGAAGTGTTTGAACTGGATTTCTGCACTGGATCATCACAAAGAAACAGAAACAGATGCAGAGACAGGGAATTCGATGCACGGGCGAGTTTGTGGAACCCAGAGGGTTAACCTAGAAAAAAGTATTATTCATTATTCTAGCTTTTCTTAGCTTACAGTTCTATGAGTAAATATTATAAAACGTGTCAACTTTTCTTGTCCCATTTGGATACAATATGTCTAGACCTTCCACCACCTTGTCCTTTTTATTTCTTCACTGCTCTGTAATATTACAATAATTTTTTATTACAATTTTTAAAGTGTTTTTGTTGGTTTGTTTGTTTTTTTGCTTTTTTTTCTCTTCCCCATCTCTGTGTGATGAACACTGAGGATGTTTTTGTTTTTTCCCTTAAAAAGACCATTTTTATAACAGCAAACTCTTGAAGATTTGTAAATTTTGTGAAATGTCAGTGAAAATAAGTTTACACATCCTCTACAGAGACACACTTCTGCACATTTTAATGCATGATCACTGTTTATTTACTAAATGTAATATATTGGAAACAATAATAAAACAGAAAATGGTATCACTTTACTGTAGGGTTCTGCTCATAAGGCTACATCACACCTACATAAGCTTGTCATGACAGCTGACATAATCCTACACAAACAGGTGTCATTCACTGTAAAGGTTACATTTGCCATTTCTGTTCATTTCGCTAAAGTAGCCTTTATGACAGGTGACGCCTGCTGGAATAAGCATTTATAAACACTTATATAGGGTTATGTCAGCTGTCATGACAAGCTTACATTGGTGTCAGGTATCCTTATAAACAGCACCATACAGCACCAAGTGTTGCCCATAAAATTATGTGGCCTGTGCAGAAGTTATGACAAATTTTATACCTTTTTTTTTAAATATATTAAACTCAGTAAATAAACAGTAATCGTGTATGTGCAGAAGTATGTCTCTGTATAGGACGTGTAGCTTATTTTCACTTCAACAAGACACAGAATTTGATCAGGGGCGCCCAAACTTTTGCACAAGCCTGTGGGTATATTTTATAGGTTTACATTTACAGACCAATTACTGCGTAATTCATCAGACCACCACAGGACCACCATTGTCCACATATTATTTGGGTAGTGGACCACTCTCAGCACAGCAGTGCCACAAAGTGCCTTTATATGGTAGGAGTTTCTGATAAAATGGCCAAAGATTCCAAGGTAACAGGAGCTGATAAACTAGCTGAGACTGACTGACAAACCTCTTTAAACTTGCGGCAGGTCAGCGCAAACCGCGCAACGTCTTCCAGCTCCAAATGGACCATGATGTTCAGGAGTAAAGAGTCAGGCAGACGGTGGAGATAATCATACTGACCCTGGCACAAATCCCTGGAGTACTGCAAGACGTGAGGACCGAACACCATCGCCACCTGACCTGAGGGTTCAAACAAAGCCAATCTGTTAATGAATCTGGTTCAGGAATTTGTAGCTAGACAGATAAAGCTGACAGGATTTGGGGATTTTAATCATTACAGTATGAAGCAGCTCTCAGCAGCAAAAACATCAGCATCTCTGAGACTCACTGAGCAGCTGCTGACGTTTAGCTGACTATATTCTGAGGTCTGGACTCATTAACTGCAGCACCATTAACATCAGATTATTGGAGATGATAAGCAGGTGAACAAAATATTTTGAGAAAGAAATTCTTTTGAGAACTAAAATCCAAACTCTGTGTGCACTCTGTCGTTAAACTGGACAGAAGTTTATGTGAAAGTAAAATGCATAATGTACACTGGACATTATGGTTCTATAGTGAGATGCAGAACACAAGCCATAATGAAAAATTAACTTCTATTACATTGATTTAACATCACTTTTCTTCTAAAAACAGCACATGAGGATTTACATTTAAAACTAAATGCTGAATTCATGTTAGAACTGGATATAATCCACTTTAAAATGTAATAAAGGCACAGCTATACACTCCCTCAAGGGTCCATCTCAGTACCTTTAGTCAGGGAACATAACTGAACCATAATCCACTGAAATGATATGTTCTAAGCTGTACTGACTCCACACACCCCGTCTCGTCTCCAGGCTTTTATTTTACTGTTCTGTTTTAAATCATTCGGTTATGAAAAGGTACAAATACGAACTTTTCACCTGGAAAACACTTATTTAAGGTTCACAATCAGACCTTAAAACCACTGTTGTACCTTTGAGGGAACATTTACGCTGTTTGTACCTTGATGAAGGAAAAATGTACCTGAACAGAACCTTTATTTCTAACAGCGTACTGCTCTCCACTGTGCACTTTAAACAACATTAAATCAGAGTGATTGATGTGTTACTTTTCATTTTGGCACGTTTTCTACATGTGTCTGTGTAAATTCAATCTTTGTGCACTGTTTTTGCTGTTTAGGTTGCATTTCAATGAAGCAAGCACATTTGGGGTGCAAAAAAGGGGTGAAAACAGTGTAGTGGGGGTTTTGCTTTTCATTTTGGCTCATATTCCGCAAAAGTGTGCAAAAGTGATGAGTTCACTGATTTCACTGCAATGACTGAATTTCAATGAGGCAAATCTGTTTCAAGTGCACTGTGGAAAGCATTATAGATGTGCATTCATTACATTTTACAGTGGATTGTATTCAGTTCTGATATCAATTCAGCATTTTGGTTTTAAAGAGTAAATCTTCATGCATTCCCTGCTGAAAAAAACATAGAAACCATTCAGTGTTTCTGTTGGTTCACGATGGTTTTGGCTTTTTTAATGTGTTGATATCACAATGCAACGAGTCCTAATGGTGTAACAGGTGACCAATGCCTGATTCTAAATGCATTTGATGGTTTCCTCATGAGATCTAAAGGTGTTCTACAGGAAGCTTGCAGTCTCTTTTGGAAACCATTAAGCCAATTCTGATTAGGAATCAAAACAATTAGGTTTTAATCCTAATGGTTCTTTTTTTCAGTAAAGAGGTCATGCCTTGTTAAATCAGAGTAATAGAGGGTTTGTTTTTCATTTTGGCTGGTTCTGCATCTCACTATGGAACAGTAATGTCATGTGTGCACTGTATTTCACGGTTCTCCACCGTAGTGACTGCATTTCAATCCCTCTCCATAGTAATAGAGATAGAGCGGAGTTGACCATCATTACTCTGCAGTCTGCTGTCCTCTAAATAGTCGCTGTGAGATTCTCTGACTTCTCCAGGCTTTGTGTTCCGTGAGTTGGTCCTCAGGGAGATCTTCCACCACCTCCAGATCACCTAGAACACAGTTAAACATGGTCAAAATATCAGAGCTCATCAGAGAACACAGAGAGCTCAGCTGACAGTTAGGGTTGCCACCTGTCCAGGATTCCCTGGATGGTCCAGGGTTATGGTAGCCTGTCCAGAAAAAAAGTAACAACACAAAATATCCAGGAATCTTCATATCATCTTCATATCAGAATTTTCATATCATCGCTGTCCAAAGCAAAACAAATGACTCCTGTTATGATCCTGGGAGTGTGTGGTGTTTTGTTTTGTGCTCTCTCTTTCTCATTCATCACTTTTTCCCATAGGGTTAATGTCTGGAAGACTCTGACTGAGTACAGCAGGGGGCGCTAAAGCTACTTATGGCTGTTATATTACCACTCCGTAATGTCTTTCGGGTTCCTCAAACATTAGAGGGCGCTCCGGAGCGAGGCCAAAATGAATGGGAATTTCAGCAAAATCATAGTTTATAAATGCTTAAACATTTTTAATGTGAAAGAATTCATTCATTTCCTGAACACAGAACAGCTTAAAACATTTTAACACCGCTGTTATATTTTGCTTATCTTATCTTTTGGCTGGATCACATGGATGCCCCCAGCGTGCACTGGAGTGGTTTGCAGCTGAGTGTGAAGCAGTTGGTATGGGGATCAACACCTCCAAGTCTGAGTCCATTGTCTTGGCCCAGAAAAGGATGGCATGCCCACTCCAGGTAAGGGGAAAGGACTTGCCCCAGGTGGAGGAGTTTAAGTATCTCGGGGGGGAAGAGGGATGGTGGGATCGACCGCAGGCTGGGACAGGCGGCAGCAGTAATGCGGTCGCTGTACCGGACTGTAGTGGTGAAGAGGGAGCTGAGCCATAAGGTAAAGCTCTCTGTTTACTGATCAGTCTACATCCCCACCCTCACCTGTGGTCATGAGCTATGGGTAATGACCGAAAGCGGCGGAAATGAGCTTTCTTCGCAGGGTGGCGGCTACACTCTATTTGATAGGGTGAGGAGCTCGGCCATCCGGGAGGAGCTCGGAGTAGAGCTGTTACTCCTCCGCATTGAGAGGAGCCAGATGAGGTGGTTCGGGCATCTGATCCGGATGCCCCCTGGATGCCTCCCGGTGGGGGTGTATCAGGCACAGCCTACCGGAATAAGACCCCGGGGTCGTCCTAGGACCTGCTGGAGGGATTATATATCCAGGTTGGCCTGGGAGTGGCTTGGGGTCCCCAGGAATGAGCTGGACAGGGTCGGACAGGGGGACAGGGTCGTCTGGGATTCTCTGCTCTCCCAACTGCTACTGCGACCCTATCTGGACTAAGCGGTTAACGATGATGATGATGATGATGATGTTATATTTTGCTGTAGAAAAAAGGAAATATATAATCAAATATTGCGCTATTTAGACTCAAACTGTCCTTTTACTAAATTTGGTTGCACCACCAACGCATAAGTCATGTCTTATCTAGTAACAACTAACGTCACTTTAACAAGATGATAGCATGTTCAGAACCAATCAGTAAACCTGCTGCCAGGTAAAACTCCAGCAGCACTGCTGTGTCTGATCCACTCGCACCAGCACCACACACACTAACACACCACCACCACGTCAGTGTTACTGCAGTGCTGTATAGAGAATGATCCACCACCCAAATAGTACCTGCTCTGTGAGGGTCCATGGGGGTCCTGACCACTGAAGAACAGGGTAGCAAAGTATGCAGAGAAACAGATGGACTACAGTCTGTAACTGTAGAACTACAAAGTGCACCTATATAGTAAGTGGAGCTGATAAAATGGACAATGAGCGTAGAAACAAGGAGGTGGTCATCATGTTATGCCTGATCGGTGTGTCTGCTCTGTAGAATGACCCGTACACGCTTAAAGCGCACTGCTGGTCCAACTGACCACTGGAGCCTTACAGGGCTAACAGCGCTAAAGCTAAAGCCGCTCTGTATCTGGGCGAATGACCGCGCTGAGACTAAATCCTGCCCGTGCTGGAGGTCGGAGGTGTATAAGAAGCTGACCAGCGCTCAGGTCACTCTACTCTACCTGTGTTTTAGTGACCTGCAGGTTGAAGTAGTCCTTCATGGGCGCGGGACCCTGCGCGCTGACCTCAAACAGGCTCTCCCCCAGCAGCGCCGCCATGGTAGAGTCCCGTTGTCACGGCAACGGAGACGCGACCCGCTGCGTTGTCCTGGAAACGCTGGGAGGCAACAGAGCGCGCGAGACTTTTATTATTTATTTTTAATTAAATTCATCTCTGCGCGAATAAAGTACAGCCGGAAGTACAGAGGGAAGGAAAAACAAACAAACAAATAAATAAATAAACTGAAAAATGCGAACGGAACAATTAAATAAACTGACAGGAAAAAAAATTAAATAATATCAAAGGATTATATTAATCATTCATGCATCACATGTTAATATATTAATGTATTATATATTATAACATACTATATAAAATATAAAAAGACTAATATAATGTATTAAACAGCAACATGTGATATATATTAACATTAAGGTTATATTAAATTATATACAGCTGTATTAATTCATATTAAATGATTAAATAAAATAAAGAAGACAGAAAGATTATTTACGCAAAAAGTCAGAATCAGAACACACGTTCCAGGTTTTTACAGCTTTTTTTATTACAGAGGAAGAGGAGGATTTCAAATACTCCACTTCTTTGATGAAGTGACAAAATGGTTCTATCAGAGCCGGTTTAGGAGGAGTCTGGCCGCTTCCTATTTCCCCCCCGTTATATCAAAAACAGGACTAAACAGCAGAGGGCGCCCGCGAGGGAGTCCTCAGTGAATGGGAGTAAATGGAGCTAAACGGCTAAAAACGAAAAGTTAAAATAGTTTCTAATCACTGAACCAGAGCGTTTCTTTAATTTAAGAAAGTAGAAGGATGGATTTCACTAAAAAAAAAAACAAAGAAATGTCACCTATAACGGGTTTGGGCAGCAGGAGGCGGGCATTACTGCTATAGCGTGATGATTGATTGGCGAGCGGAGCAGCTCATTGGCTGTTCGCGCTCACCGACGTCATGAACGTACATGAGGCGCCGCTTTAAACTTCTATAACTCGAGTTTAAAAGCTCTTAAAAATATAACAGCAGTGTTAAAATGTTTTATGCTGCTCTGTGTTCAGGAAATGACTGAACTCTTTTACATTAAAAATGTTTAAGCATTTATAAACTATGATTTTGCTCAAAGGCTCCCATACCAGCCCATTCATTTTGGACTCGCTCGGGAGCGCCATCTAGCGTTTGAGAAACCTAGAAGACATTGCAGCGTGGTAATTCTCTCTACAAGTTTTCTGCCTAAACTCAACCAGTTTTCAACATCAAATAATGAGATTTTGGTTGAGAGTATGACGGATATAACGCTGAAATGTGACTTAATACTGGTCATTTTACGCGTTTTAACAGTTATGTTGAATAATGGTTGGGGCTGAAATAAAATGCTGCTAAAAGTATAACTTACAGAGCATAAATCAGCGTTTCTTGTTGACACATTCCTAACCTTTAATTTTATATTCTAGCATTGTTAATTGTTATCTACTTTGTGTATTTTCTGGCGTTCGCGTTCAAAATATCTCAAATCGCTCATTTGAAACCAAGGCAGCAGATGGCGCGATCTGTAAAACATGCGCGCTGAAAACTGTTCGGTAAAATGAGTTGAAGATCAGCGAATCTGCACAGCGGCTCACGAGCCCGTCACAGCTTTTTAAATCAAAACACTCGCGAGGGTAAACCGTTATTTTCACTCCAGAGCCGTTGGTGCCTCGGATGCTTTCCCTGGTATTTTCAGGTAAGAACACAGTAGTTTTATGACGAAACATATATCATAAATTATAATATACTGTAACTTCTGGCAATTCAATATGACATTTTTATTGTGTTTTCATGTAAACTCGTTTTGTTTTCATTCGTTTTCTGAAAACTAGTTAATGTTAACCAACTGAAAACGTAGGTAGTAGTTAGTTAGCTAACCTATAGCTATATGTTATAGCTACATAGGCATAAATAGTCAGCTGGCTGAAATAAGCAGACGTTAAAAACGTTAATATTAACTTATTTTTAAAGTTAGCTAGCTAGCTAACTAAGCCCCAATTAACTACTAGTTTTGCCTTTGATTTTTTTTGTCATGTTAGTAGCTATTAATGTTGTGTTTGCTACCTAAGTTAGCTATTTAGCGCTGCTCTGTAACAATAAAATATACCAGCCTTGCTGAAAATGTGAACACCTTTCCAAACTGTGAAAATATCATTTTTATCGTGGTCAGCTCCGGCTCTGCTTATTTTAGATTATAGATAGATTCTAGATAGATTGTTTTTCATACTGAGGGGACACTCGTTGGCTAGAGTGAGAAAATCTCTACTGCAATCCTAATTCTTTAAAAAAACATTTGAATGCTATCAGAGCCGGTTTATGAGGAGCCTGGCCGCTTCCTATTTCTCCTGTTATATCAAAAACAGGACTGCTAAACAGCAGAGGGCGCCCGCGAGGGAGTCCTCAATGAATGGGAATAAATGGAGCTCAACAGCTAAAAACGGAAAGTTAAAATAGTTTCTAATCACTGAACCAGAGCGTTTCTTTATTTTTAGAAAGTAGAAGGATGGATTTCACTAAAAAAACAAAGAAATCTCACCTGTAGGTTTCCTTTATTCTACAGCAAACGGGTTTTGGGCAGCAGGAGGCGGGCTTTACTGCTGTACTGATGATTGATTGGCGAGCGGAGCAGCTCATTGGCTGTTCGCGCTCACCGACATCATGAACGTACATGAGACCCCGTTTTAAACTCCTATAACTCGAGTTTAAAAGCTCTTAAATATAACAACAGTGTTAAAATGTTTTACGCTGTTCTGTGTTCAGGAAATGAATGTATTATTTTACATTAAAAATGTTTAATCATTTATAAACTATGATTTTGCTCAAACGCTCCATATCAACCCATTCATTTTGGACTCGCTCAGGAGTGCCCTCTAGTGTCTGAGAAACCCGGAAGACATTGCAGAGAGTAATTCTCCTAAGGTTCTGTAATACGGCCCCAGATGTAAAATAGAGCAGGAAACCTAATACTGGAGTCTCTGGATTCACAGAAAAACAAAGTAAACAGATATTTTCCATATTCAGTATTTTCAGCATGGTCTAACTGCACATCTTACAACTGAAATATTTTGAATTAGCCTTTTAAAATTTGATATCCGTGTTCAATTCAATGAAGTTGTCTGCTGAAGCTAATTAGGGGCTACGCTAACGCTCCACTTACACTCAAAACAGTGAAAATGTCTGTACAGCGACAGATTAGAGTGAAATGAGCCCCTAACAGTGGCAGGTTATGTATAAAGAGGGTAATAATTCATACACTGTTCACCCCATTTGGGTGTAAATATTGTAGTTGAAAACACTTTGAGATCATTTTCTTGCTTATTTCATAAATATTACACAACTATTATTTACATTTCTGATCCAGTATGCTGTACACTCTTAAAAAGATGGTTCTTCAAGGGTTCTTTGGTAAAGGCAGTGGTTCTATACCGAACCATGAACATTCAAAACATTTGCATGTGTATATGGTTCTCTGCATGGTGAAATGAATTCATGCAGAATGTGCTGTGTATGGTTCTGTATAGCACCAAAAAGCGTTCTTGATAGGCCATCGTAACAATAGCAGAACCCTTTTTGGTGCTATACAGAACCATTTTCCAGAAGTTTGAGCCCTCTACGGCACATTCTACATCAATCTGAACTACTGTTACATTGTTAAGCTTATAACAATAGAAGAACCCTTTTGGTGCAATATAAAACATGTTCTCCATCATGAAGAAGAACCATTTTAGCATGCAAATGGTTCTTTGAGTGTTCATAGTTCCATACAGATCCTTTACCTTTACTAAAGAACCCTTAAAGAGCCACTTTTTTAAGAGTGTAGGCAGGTAAAATAACAATAAATTTGTCTGCGTCCCAATATTTATGGACCTGCCGCTATATATACACATTCATAAACCAGACTCATATGAATGTCACACACACATACATACAGAAATTAATTCATCCTTCAGCCTCCGCACTGACAGCAAATTATTTACCACTGATGCTAATTTTAGTCACAAATTAATTTTCCATCCACCAAAGATTTTCTCAAGCACAAAAGATAAACATCTGAACCTCCAGCGACACGTAAGAGAATGTAATAAAATCAGCCGCAGCACTGAATCCTCTCAGCGCATTTTAATGAAATTCTCCTTTTTATTGACTCTACAGCTAAAGAAGAGACCAGAGCACGTTTGGTACAGTAGTTAAAAAGCTTTAATATTTATTATACATGTATTTATATATGTACACATTAACTTATTCACTCGTAACGGTAAATCTGACGCAGCTCTAGTCGAAAAACCCATAGATGGAGGACGAGCACAGGCCAAACCTGCTTCTGCAACTAAAAGCTTCCAAAGCAGATCATATAAAACCTCTTACGCTCGTAACTACTGACCTTCTGCTGCCGTGCCGGACACGCCTGCCAGGGCCCGACCGACACTCGCCTCGTATGTGAGGTCACGCAAGACTTTATCAGTGAAAATCCTGCTGACGAACCTCAAAATATTGCTCTGAAGCAGCTTGTTGTGTTACATTATAATGAACATGAACATCTAAAATGAGAAAAATCTCAAAGATTTGAATCTCTTTTGCTGTTTAATTGACCTTAAAGAGCCCATATTCTCTTGTTTAGGTCCACTTATAACATCTGTGCTTCATTCAACCTCTCTTTATTCCTTAGAATTAAACAAGCTGTGCCTTTAAGACTGATTTATGTAAACGAGCTCTGTTCTGATTGGTCACGCTTATTTAAAAAAGTAATAAAGGTTCCTTTTAACACTCCATATAACTTCAGCATGAGTGGCAGGAGCTAAACTGTTGTAGGCCGAATAGGAGGATATATATTATTGTGTTGGTTTTTGTGACATCACAAAAACAATTCAGCACAGGCTTAGTTTCAACACATGGATGGTATTTTATAAAGAAAAAAATCCATGATACGGACCCTTTAAGAAATGTGACAATTTAGAAATGACGAATATATGACGTTTCACTGTCGACAACCAAAAACTGCATGAGTCAGTGAAGCACAGCTCAACTAACACGATCGTTTGACCATATAAGACGGTATTAGGTCAGGGGTCACAACCCAAATCTTAAGGAGAGCCATTTTGTCCTTTCAACAAAAATCAAGCCACCTTGAGAGCCACAACATTTTATGTCCATTTTTATTGAAGTAACGTTTTACTGTCTTGGCTGTAAATGTGTCTCAGTATGTGCTGATGTACTAGTGTAGGCTAAAAAATATAATACACACAACAATCCAGGCTTACTTTGCTTTAAGCTTTAGCTCAGCTAAAGCCGCTATTCTCGCATCTCCGGCAGGAAACTCTTCCTCAAAAGTGAAATAGTTTCTTGTAAAATGTCTCTCAACGTTCAAGTTTTTATGAGGCAGAAGTCAGTTTCTCATTCGCCAGCTTCTTGTTCAAATTGCGCCGTTCCACCTTAAATGGTAGCGCCTCATGCACCATTTAAGGTGGAATGGGAAAATTCGAACAAGAAGCTTTGCCACTTTTTAGTGTTTGTCAGTTTCTCATTGCAGATTAAAACGTATCAGGAAACCAGCTGGAGTGATTATAAACACTAATAAGTCCATTCCTCTCCAAATTATCAACATTTTAAATCTCCCTTTTTTGCCCTTTCATTGGCTAGGCGAGATTGTTGTCTGTGTTGCTATGGTGACCAGTCTGCGCTGATCTTCAGGGTTAAGGGTGAATTAGCAGTTCTACATTAACTCCAGAGTTTAAGACCATTTATTGTTAAACTGTGTTGAACGATCAGCAGAGCTTTATTTTACTGTAAAGGAGGATTATTTTATTTTTACCTACTAATCTAATTCTGCTGTGGAGCCACGACAGGGCAGTAAAAGAGCCGCATTTAAGTGGACGTTATCAGAACTTTTAGCTTCTGAACCTGGGGGTGGGTAACGTCGGTCGGGCCCTACTTCACATCCGCCCGTCTTCGTCTCCTCCAGAGGGAAACCAGCACCTCACAGTCCTCCTGTTTTGGTTACAGCCGTTACAAAAGCACAAATTAATCCTCCTGCAGAGCAGAAACCATTCGCTCAGTCGGCGTTTTCCCTCTGCATTTTCACAGTGTCTCTAACTGACCACTACCTGTCCGCTTCTCATCACTCTCTTACCGTAAATAATGCATTTAAAAGGATTACAAATATCGATATGCACGAGGAGCTTAACTTCTAGGCGTAAAAACATTACTTACTGAGTCAAAGCCACACGCTGCCTGTCAAAAGTTTGGGGAAATCAGCTCCATAATGATTTTAAATACAGTATGTTTTGTTTTGAGTAAAATTAGGTTCATGATGAAATTTTCTATAGTTACACTTTGGATGATTGTGTAATAATACACATATGAATTTTCTGACTACATGCAACTTTTCAACTTTTATTTACAATGAAATTCTGCCTTCCTACTGTTTCTTCCAAAATCAGCAGTTCCGTGTGGAAAAAAGCCAAACCTTTGTTAAAGATAATTATTAATTAATAATTATGATCATTACTTGTGCATTAATAAAATGTTACCATTTGAGTTTTTAACCATTCACTCAGTGACATACAAATAATTAAAGCACTACAATGTAACTTAGTTAATACAGTATTTCTTAAAAATATTATAAGATGCAACCTTACAAAAGGAGCCTGATTCATGTTTAAGTATTAACCACTTAAAGCTGCACTATGTAAGGTTTGGGGATTTGGAGACCTCTCTGGTGGAAATGTGGAATTGCAAGAAACTTTTTAATGTGGTTTGCGTTTCAGCCCCGAGTGGATGAGTCTGACAATAAGAAGAGAATTCAAGGAGAACTCAGTCTAAACTCAGTGAAGGAGCGTCTTCTGAAGATGTGAGTGAATTTTCTACTGTCATCACATTTTCTTCAGTATAATGTTGATTTTGAGATCATTTGAGGCCGAAACATCGAACCGGACCTTCTTTTAGAGTCTGTGTGAGATGCCAATACGTAAAGATGTACGACGTGGTGTGAAAAAGACTTTAAAGTGATTATTTCGGGCTTTACAGGGCGACTCACAGCAGCAGTTCACCATATTTTAGCCTGTTTTTATTCTCCTCACTCAGTAATGAGGCTTCTTTCAGTTTTAACAAAGAAATCTTACATAGTGCCGCTTTAATTATGATAAAGCATTCAAAAGTTTATGCATCAGAAACAAACAGAACACAGACAATTAATTAATTTATAATTATTATGAACTGTTTTCATGCAGCTAAGTAAATGCTTAATATTTCAAGTTACATCATTTATGAATTATGCTTAGCAATTTAATCATTATTAACAAACTATAATTATCAAGGCTTCTACAATTCAAAATAATTGCTAATTGTGTCACTAAGTTAATGGTTCACACTTCAAATAGAATCATTTACTAATGAACATGTAACTATTACATGATTATTGGATCACATTTAAGTTGCTGTTTATTAGGGCCTGTTATTCTAAAGAGTTACCAGTGAATTTAATGATAAATGACAAATTAAGTGATAAAAACTAATTTTAGCTACATGGTTTGACCAATTTGAACGTTTTCTTTAGATGTGTGCTCGGAGTCGTCATATAAGGACATTAAAATGATAACATATTGAAGCCTAATCAGGTTTATTTGGTGTAAACAGTATCACACGTGTAAATATCTGTGCTAATATTAGTGACAGTGCTAATTTGGGAATCAACCTAAAGGCCACCCCCACTTTATCCCACTTGTTGTGATGTCACTGATCAGCACTCAAACCTTTCGGGTGTCTAAACCAACTTCGGACCAAAAGAGCTTCAATATGAGCTTTAAACTACAGTCAAATCATTATTTATACCAAGACGATACTCTGATGAAGACGAAGCTGAGAAGATAAATATACACAAAACATCAGCTCAGAGCTGATTTATGATAAAGAAGGCCTGTCCCCAAACTTCTGACCGGCAGTGTAAATCTCGTGGAGTTTTTTCTCCAGATTTTTGCGCTTTTTTGTTCCTGAACACACAGACGAGGGTGAGGTGAGGGAAAACTTCTGCATCTCCGCATCTCCTACTCTATAACGGCCAAACGCTCAGTGCAGTGAATAGAAAACAGAATCGTTTCAGTGTGCGGTGTTGCGGAGCAGTGAGGGTGAGTTTAGAGGAACGGGTTGGTGGAGGATCCTCCTGTAGGATACGGTCCAGCGGGAGCTCCACTCTGGAAGACAAACACATTTGCAGTCATTAATCATACAATTAATACAATATACACCGATCAGGCATAACATCACGACCACCTCCTTGTTTCTACGCTCATTGTCCAGTTTATCAGCTCCACTTACTATATAGGTGCACTTTGTAGTTCTACAGTTACAGACTGTAGTCCATCTGTTTCTCTGATACTTTGTTAGCCCCCTTTTACCCTGTTCTTCAGTGGTCAGGACCCCCATGGACCCTCACAGAGCAGGTACTATTTGGGTGGTGGATCATTCTCAGCACTGCAGTAACACTGACATGGTGGTGGTGTGTTAGTGTGTGTTGTGCTGGTCTGAGTGGATCAGACACAGCAGTGCTCAGTGCTCAGATAGAGGCATTGCACTGGGCTGGTCTCAACAACAATTTCTGAGCCCACCTTTCACACCGAGACCGCGACGAGGCTGACTCAAAATGAGTTTGAGACTGAGGCTGCTAGTTGAGTCTCGAAACCTGACTCAACTACTATGACATGAATCGCTGCTGGGTTTTGGACTGGGTCATATCTCCAAAATGGTAACTTTACAGGAAACACCACCAAAGGCTTAAAATTTATAAAAGGACTTTCACTCAAATTGTTGTGCTGATGTTCACAATTAATTAAAAAATAATGCAAACAGAATCATTTTATCCAGTGTCTCGGACTTTTGGACGCCACTGTATATCAAACAAAAAGTTATAGATTTCAGTATGTTAACTCTTCTTGCTTGTGGTAACCAGTAGGGCGGCGCCCCAGCACCCAAAATGGAAGGAATGCCCCAGACAGTTGTTCTCATAAGAATTTGTGCATCATAAATTTGAGAAAACTGATCATCTTGTGTGTGTATATATATATATATATATTTGCTCTGAAAGGTGAGGAATAAATAAACCCCAATGTTGAATATGTCTAAATAAATTGCTAACATTAATTTTTTTATGTTAGTAATTTGAAGATAAGATTAAAGCTGTTGAAACCTTTAAACTGAACCAGGCAGCAGACGCTCGCATCAAACATCAGTGAACAGCACTTAGCAGGAATAAAAGCAGCTCGTGTGTCATTCACTGACTTTCTCAGGCTTATTCTTGGGTTGTTTTGCACCTGTAACATGTTTTCTGTCAAAAAAACAAAGAAAAACTGGAAGAAAAAGAAGAAAAACCTCTTCATTCAAGAGTTTCAGCTTAAAATGCTGGTAAACAACACTTGAAACAGCTTAGCTTTAAAGTGCTTCCATAAAGAGCACAAAAACCTGCTTGAATTTCAAGGTCACCCTCGGTAAGCACAAGAGTCTGAATTTCTCAGTGCATGTAAACTCTAGACCTTACTCCGATCAAAGAAAATCACCAGAAATGACCATTTGAATAATCAGATAATTGCACACATCCGATTATGATCGGATTATCAAGTACATGTAAAAGCACTCAGTGGGAACCACTCTCATTCCAAGAGTGGGTCACACAAGCCTGAGAATTCCATCATATGTTTTCAGCATCTATAAATAACATTAGGTTATGTTTATATGACAAGCCTCATTGCTCAAATCCAATTTTTTGCTCTGAGCTAACATGATTGATTTGAATCACTTACCTAAATGAGTGTGAACAATCATTAATGTGAACGAACCGGCGTCCTGAAATGACCCTCATGCGCACATCCTACTCAGTAACATCACGTGAACGAATCACGTGCATCATTGGTAATGATGTTTTGTTCTGACAGCGGTGATTTGCTACATTTCTCTTATATTTAATTTGAGGCCCATTTATGTCTATGTTTTGTTACATCTTGAGAACACACAGATTAAAAATCATTTGCACTCAAAGTTGATAGAAAAGACCTCCTGTACTCAAAGGTTTTTTTAGTGGTAAACTGCCCTAGAATGGCTTACTGTGCATACATACACAAAGCTCTAATCGGCCCCTCAGTACCTGAGTGAACTTCTCTCTTATTATGAACCATCGCGCCTACTTAAAATCACAAGGTGCTGCTCACTATTAGTACCTAGAATTAATAAAGCTACATCGGGGGGGAGTGCCTTCTCATACAAAGCCCCCCAACTTCGGAATAATCTCCAGTCAGTGTTGGGGACTCAGACACAGCCTCAGTCTTTAAGTCTAGGCTAGAAACCGACTTGTTTAGTGGAGCCTTTGGTAATTAGTTTTCCCTGTTAGATAAAAGGCGCAGATCTGGGGTTCATGGTCAGAGTATTATGGTAAACTGGGAGTGTTGGTGCCGTCGTCCCAGTGCCTCAGGCACTCACTCAGGTTTGCTGACGGTGGAGTGGAGGGGCGCCGACATCTCAGGGAGCCTCATGACTCTGTTACCTTCTGGTTTTTCCCTTTTAGTCAGGCTGTAATATCTTGGCCGTGCCGGAGTCTCTGCTGCTCTGTTAACCCTGTAATCTGTGATCAGTCCCTCTTTACAGAACTGACTCTCTGTGTGTTTCCTTTCTTTGGCGAGTTGATCAGCTGCCCATCCTGTGCATCTGATGCTGTTGCTTCTTCTGCCTTGATCGGGTGCCGCTGCTCGCCAGCCTTCTGGACCAGTTTGACCACCATGGAGCTTCTCGCTGTGCAAACCTCACCTGCATGAACTGACCCTCCTGATGATACTGCAGCTTCTTTTAATCACAGACCTTCCTTCGCCTGATTTTCCCCTTTTCTGTATCTTATACTGATGGTCAAAACTCATTCTCTGCTGTTATTGTTTACTATCAGGTGTCGACCAGAGGAGGATGGAGTTCCGCTTAAGAGAGTCTTGGTTCCGCTTAAGGTTTCTTCCTCTTGCTATTTATTTATTTGGGCGCTACGCAGCAGCTTAGTTTAGTACATCCTGAATGAGCTTGAACTCATCACGGTCCAATATACTAAAATATGCTAATGAGAGGCCGGAGACCACCCGAGCCCCAGTCGCTCTCGTTAAGGCCTGCAAAAGCGCCTGAGCCGAGAGAGATTAGGCTCAAACCCCACTTGTTTAGTCGAGCCTTTGGTAATTAGTTTTCCCTGTTAGATAAAAGGTGCAGATGTGGGGGTTCATGGTCACAGAGTATTATGGTAAACTGGGAGTGTTGGTGCTGAGGGAGGGAGGGGGAGAGAGAGAGAGAGAGAGAGAGAGAGAGAGAGAGAACGAACTGAGGCCAGTTTAGGGGATTAAGACTCAAATCTCAGCAGGTTAATCTGTATCTGTGTGTGAAGCTGTTAATTCATATCCTTGTTAGCACCAGAGGCTAACATTAGCTCAGCTAGAAGGCTAAACCAGCAGCGGTTCTGTTTCGCTGATGCGAGTTTTGAGGATAAAGACTCAAATCTGAGCAAGTAAATCCGTTTCTTTTGAAAACTGGGCAGGAAGGGGACGTTTACGTAATAACACGTTCATAGCTTTTCATATTCTTGTTGAGTTTTGAGGTTTAGAGACGCTCCAGTAGTTTCTCAGGCATAAAATGAATATATAAACACATTTAACAACTTACTATTCAATATTAATTTACAACTAGGGCTTATTTGTGTTACGTTTCTGTAGTAAAAAGCTGTGGAAAGCTGTACGGTGAATAAAATCTCAGTCAAGATGATATTTACAGTTACACGCCACTTCAAGCTTTCTGTAAATTTGCTAAATTTATCTAAATTTATCAGGTGGGAACTTTTCTTTTACACCTTCACCCTCAAAACCTGCTTCTCTTATTATAGAACCTTTTAGAGGGTCTTCAGAAGCCCAGAGCAGAAAAGAAGGACCACTTACACCTGGGTACACTTGAGAATACTAACAGAGTGATAATAAGATAGAAGAGCATTAAAAAATTAAGCGGAAGTGAGTAGCAAGCTGACCAAAGAAATAAGAATACCTTTTATATGCACTGTCGGTACATATTATTCTTCCTGTTCATAATTCTTAAAATAGATCAGTTCACACTCCCAGAAGCGCATTAAGTACAGAAAAGAGAGAAAAAACACACTATAATGACTTCGTCAGAAGCTGCAGTGCTAATAGCTGCACATTTAGATGTGCACAGCATGTCTAAGTGTTGCAGTGGGAGATAATGGATACAGGAACATTTGAAAAACAAGACTGTGCTATTTCAGTTATAAGTATAGAAAAAAACAGGACTGCACTGGCATCACTGAGCTGTTGGGAGATATTCAAAGGAAAAGGTGCTAGTGCTCTATGACAGGTGACGCTTTAAGATAGTTTTGCTAATTGATGTGTTTTTGTACCAGCTGGATTGAGAATAAAACAAAAGACTAAAGAATAGCTACACAAAGAGTGTCACATCTCCAGTTTGTCAGAATAGTCTTTTTAGCGATGGTCAGCGCCACCTAAAGTGCTCTGTTTTCTTCCTTGTTTAGATGGACTGATGTGTCACCTAACAAACAGAGTGATGGGGATGGGGAGATGGGTTGTTTTAACAATGGAGTTAGTTGATTTATAACAAGTTGCCAGAAGTGCTTGACTGGTGTGCAATGCCACAAGGCATGTATATAACTGTCAGGAGTGTTTAGTGAACAATGTCTACAGATTTCAGAGTCCATTAATCCCATTTTATAGAGCCTTTGCCCAGTGTCGTGTGCTCTGTGAATTACCTTATATTGTATGAGGTGAAGGTTAGTATTGTTAGTCATGCTAAATGTGTTTCCCCAGAATGGTTGTCTAGAGGTCGGTAGAGGGAGTAACCAAGAGATCTTCCCACTTTTTCCGTGGTACATAAATTGTTTGGTCTAATTCAGATAGGAATTTATAAATTTTAGATAATTTTTTTTTGAGGAGGAGATGTTTAGGAATTCTGTAATTGGTGGACTTAATTCTATGTCTTTAATTTTGAGTTTAGTATGGATCTAAGCTGATGATATTCCAGAATCTGGTTACTCTCAATGCCGTATGCCTGGGTTAAATGTGAAATGGTTACAGTTTTTATTCTGTAGAATGTGATGTAGATGAGTAATACCTTTGTCCTTCCATTTGTGTAGAGTTGTTGTTTTTTTTGATGGCAGGGAAGTCGGGTTTGTGCCATATGGGTGAGTGTTTGGAGGGTGAAATTATAGTGTCAGTGTTCTTGTGCAGTTTCCACCAAGCTGTCAGTGTTGATGCTATCATTGGGAAGTCTGAGAATTATATTTCATTACTTGAAGCTTGTTCTACTGCTCTCCATGATTCATCTGTTTGACTAGGCTTTATCCATTTTATTATGTATTGTAATTGATTTGCTAAGAGGTATTGTTGGAAATTGGGGGCTTCGAGGCCTCCCTGGGTTCTGTGCTTCTGTAATGTAACTAATTTGATCCTAGGTGGTTTATTTTTCCAGTAAAATTTGAAGATAAGAGAGTCTAAGGTTTTGAACCAGTTAGAGTGAGGTTGAATTGGAATCACTGAGAAAAAAATAATCCTGCCCACCCAGAGAAAGCGAGAACAACTGTGCTCTCTTGGACTCCCGGCCACGGACGGATGGAGCTGTTTTAGCTTTTAATCCTATTTTCCTTGATGTTGGGAATTAAATGTGAAATTTAAAATTTTTACTAATAAAAAAACGTAATCCTTGATGGACAGCTTCATTTTTACTAGCTATAAGTACATTTTCACCAGTAAGAATTCTAATATCACTGGTAAAAATGTATGTATTACAAGTTAAAATACAATTCTATTACTAGTTAAATTTAAATATTAAAATTTAAATTAAAAAATTTGTTAATCATGATTCATTAATAGGCAGCACGGTGGCGCAGTGGGTAGCGCTCTCGCCTCACAGCAAGAATGGCCTGGGTTCGATTCCCGGGTGGCCAGGGTCATTTCTGTGTAGAGTTTGCATGTTCTCCCCGTGTCTGCGTGGGTTTCCTCCGGGTACTCCGGTTTCCTCCCACAGCCCAAAAACATGCAGTCAGGCTGATTGGACATGCTGAATTACCCCTGGGTGTGAGTGAGTGTGTGATTGTGTATGTGTGTCTGTCTGCCCTGCGATGGACTGGCGACCTGTCCAGGGTGTATCCTGCCTTCCGCCCAATGACAGCTGGGATAGGCTCCAGCACCCCACCGCGACCCAGAAGGATAAGCGGTTTAGATGATGTATGTATGATTCATTAATGCTTCTTTAATTCATCACACAAATCAACACAGCAGGACTAAATGGTCAGACTGTCTGATTTGATCATGGACGATGTGTGAAGCGTCTGGCTCACCATAAACGGGTTACTGGACATCGCAGGCTGACCGTAGGTCATCGGAGGTTTGGCCTGGCCATAAGCAGGAAATCCACCTACAGGGATACAAAAAAAGAGCCAGTTTGTGATTAATGTTCATGAGCTTTTAATATGACCAACTACAGTATTGACAAAAAATACAATATGATACAAAATATTTGCGACACCACTCAAATTTCAGGGCATCCAGGAGACTATTAGAACCAGGTCTTTGGCTCGTTTGGGGTCTTTTTTAAATAAATAATCCCTACACCTCTGTCATGCTAATACCTGTTACTGTCCCAATGGGATGTCCCAATGACACGATGTCCCAATGACACGATGTCAAGCTTGTAACAACAGAAGAACCCTTTTTGGTGCCATATAGAACCTTTTCAAAAAGCTTTTATATAGATTCATCTACACATTTTCCATCAATCTGACGAACCCTTTCACAATGCAAACAACCCTTTAATCCTGCAAAGAGTATTTTGAGTGTTCGTGGTTCTGTATAGAACCTTTCTTTACTAAAGAACCCTTGACTCTTTTTTAAGAGTTAATGTAAAGGTGTAATGATGTGCCTATTTGTTGTGTGTACATGAGGTCAGTGTTTTTGCTAAAGTAACACAAATTTCCCCTCAATGACCAACACAGTGTCTGTCATAAACGAAAGAACAGACAACAACCCACTTTAAACTCTCCTATAACAGAAGTCAATGGGCAGATGCTGAATGTTTAAAATATGTGACTATATAACAAGAATTTGAAACAAATTCATTCCAGTCTTACAGAAGAGACAGAATGAAAACTGTCCATATGAAGTTATGAACTTTACAACACAGTAAAAAAATTTGTTCTGGTTATTTTTGCTTCCCTAACGGTTTCTGGTATCCATGGCAATCAGGTCTTGTTTCCCCTCAAGGTCAACAAGGTTGCAGCAGACATTTCACAAACAGTCACATCTCTGAAAAGAACCAGCTACACTCATCTACAGCTTAATAGAGAAATATAAGTGGATTCGGAACGACAGCGTGCAAAACACACTTGTTTTGTATAAATGTGAAATGGCTGGATTTAGCAACCGTCCATTGACTTCTACTGTAAGGCTGCGTTCACACAGCCGGTAAAAGTGGCCCAAATCTGATTTTCTCACCAAATCCGATTTTTTTGTTCGGCTGTTCACATTATCTTTAAACATGACCAGAACAGATCAGCTCCTAAACTGACCCACATGTTCAAAAGAACAGCTTCACGGCTCATCCAGAGGTAAACAGTCACGACCACCAACGAACGCCAGTCGCTCCCGGAGGATCAGCTTCATCTTCACCAGCATCACAGGAGCCATCATGAAGCTTCACTGACTGACAGCTGGGCTCATCACCCAGAATGTGTTCGAGCCGTAAAAAGGGCGCGGTCACTTCTTTGGTTCGCGTCCTCGGATTCTTTAAACTTTGCTTTCAGACGTTTATCTGTACTTTGACTCTGCAGCCTCGTTCTCCTGCGGCCGCGTTCGGACATTTCATTAGAAATCTCCTCAAACATGGAGGGTTTTTGATGAGTCTCTTCCAATCTTTGTTCAGAAACATCAGCCTAAATGTTTGAGTCTCAGCAGCGCAAAATTATGATGAATGTGAAGCTGGATTGACATAAAAGCCACATGAATTCCGACTGAGTCACACTGCTGCAGTTTAGATACGTATCGGATTTCAGTACCACATATGAAAGTGTCCCGAATCAGAATTGAAAATGTCAGATTCAGTGTGTTTATCTGTTCACACTGACACACAGACACACATCTGGGTCACATATGAAGGAAAAGATCAGATTTGGGCCACTTTTACCTGCTGTGTGAACAAAGCCACAGGTTTTCTGTTCTTTTCCAAGTTCAGGAAACCGTGTGTGAAGCTGTCTGTGCTGATCAATCATACGATACAGGTGTGAAGTATACAGATGAGGGTAAGAAGCGCTGCAGTATTCCTTTAACCGGTACCGTTGGGCTGCGTGTAGGCGGCGGGGGGGAGAGGGTGGAAGGGTCCCTGGCCGGGGAAGGGCTGCTGGAACGTCCCGCTGAAGCTGGTGGGCAGGCAGTAACTGGGCGTGTTCCCAAAACCGGCCGGCATGCTCATGGAGCCTGAAAGAGAGGAAACACAGACGCTGCGGTTCATTCCGTCTCACACCTACACAGAACGGGGCGGTCAGAGGGAACGGGACTGAAGCTTGTGTCAACCTGAAGCTGAAGATCTACCGTTGGTCTGGAACGGGTTGGTAGACATCGGCTCTGGAGCCATTCCGGAAGCCAAGAACGGATTTGTGGAAGGAGCAGCTACCCCAAAACACAAAAACAAAAATATTAATTTATGTATGTATGTATGTATGTATGTATGTACACAGTGCCGTGAAAAACTATTTGCCCCTCACCTAATTCCTTCTAGTTTTGTTATTTTGTCACATTTAAATGTTTCAGATCATCCAACTAATTTTAATATAAGATAAAAAACAACATGAGGAAACACAAAGTGCAGCTTTTAAATGTTTATTCTATTCATTGAAGATAAAGATTTATTCAAAACCTACGCCACCCATGTGAAAAAGTAATTGCCCCCTAAACCTAATAAATGTATGTGCCACCCTTGGCAGCAACACCGGCAATCGAACGACTGGGATAACCTGAGGAATTCTGTCCCACTCTGCTTTGCAGAATTGTTTTCATTTGGCTGCACTGGAGGGTTTTCAAGCATGAACTGACCGTTTACGGTCTTGAGTTGGGATTCAAGTCAGGACTTTGACTCTCGCCACTCCAAGACCTTAACTTTGTTTATTTATTATTTTTGTTGTCTTTTGAGCCACTGAGAGGTGGACTTGTGGCTCATGCTTGATCATCGTCCTGCTGCAAAACCCCCAAGTGCGCATGAGTGTTAGGTCAAAAATAGAAGAAACTGGGAAGGGAGCAAATACTTTTTCACAGCACTAATTAAATAAATGAATATAAAAAAGGTCTGAGAAAACGTAACTACCATACAGGAGAACATGCCTCACCTGTAAAACCCTGTTGCATGCTGGGTAGTACTGGCTGAGGCTGAGCTGCTGCAGGCCCCGGCACAGCATCGAATACACTTCACAGGAATAAAAGACAGAACACACTCAGTAGACCTTTTCAGAAAGCACTACTGATAATAATAAAAATAAAAATAATAATAATCATCATTTTTCTTATTATTATTTATATTTACATGGACGATGCACATTAATAAACATTTCTGTAAATTTGCCAGTTTGGCTAATTTCATTTACAGTACTGTGAAAAACTGGTTAAAACTATTTGTTTGGGCAGTAACTGCATTCTGCCCTTAAAACACAAATAAACATTAAGATTGCATTGTTTTGTTCAATTTAACCACCAACACTCCTGATTTAATTTACTGAAGTATTGATTGGCCAAGCCAGGTACTGGAAGATGACTGTAATTACTGGGCTTCATCACAAAGACAGCTGGGTAATGGTTAGTCGAACACACTGACTTACATACAACTGCTATTGCATTCATTTACTTGTATTTATTCTAATGATGGTGTTTTTCTGAGTAAATAAACACTTTCTGCCCAGATGAACAGCTTCTTAAATCAAATCTTCTCAGGTGCTTTTGCACAGTATGGTATTTAGCACCTTTCATACACCAGAAAGTGGCATAAAGGTGTTTTAAAGAGTAGACAATAAGCAATATTTTGCTTATAATACAGCATATGGCAAAATTTAATACATTTCTGTTAAAAAAAATAAATAAATTAAAAAAATTAAACAGATAAAGAAATGAGTACATGAGAGAAAAAGGAATTGAGCAGTGAGCAGCGCCCTCTGTGGGTACAGACTCAGTACTACACCTGCAGAAGATCAGGCAGTAACCAGAATGGAGAATCTCACCCCTGTGAAGCTTTATGGGTCGAGCTGAGGGCGCTGTCCAGCTCAGCCAGAGCGGCGTAGCGGTCCTGCCCGGAAAGGCCGGGCGGAGCGGTGGGCAGCGGCATGCTGGGCAGTGGGGGCACCGACACACTTCCTCCTTTACAAACAGATCAGAAACAACACAAATCCAAATGTATGTGCTGAAGGTGAACATTTCTGACCTCACGATTCAATCAGATTATGAATCATTAGGAAATGATTCGCCGCATCATCAAATCTAAAACTTTAACAACACAATACACAATATATATGTATATATGCAACACGTTAAGCTTTTACATTTTTATTTTTGAAAATAATCTGAGGATTTTATGAGAGGAGCAATGATGGCAGTTTAGGGATTCACTGATATAGGAACTGTGGGCTGATATTAAATTTTTCCTTGTACATATCTGCTGATTTCGATACATACATTCAAACATTTATTAAATGTATACATTGGGACTAAATCTCCTGCCTTAGCATCACAGAGAAATAGAACATTTACTTGTTGGGGTTTACAAATGTAGTAAAATTAATAAAACACCAAATCCAATCGGCCAAATCTACATCCGTTAGTTGCTGATGATTTAGTTTACTGTAATTATCAGCTGAATATACATCATTCCGGTTAGGGGTGGGCAATAAGATGATATTTTATCTTGATAAATGACGTCACAACACGCTTTTCTGAACATATCGTGAATATATTGAGAGCTTCAAGAACACAAAATACATGTTTCATTACAAAGTGAACATAATAAGGCCTGTTATAACTGATTATAATGCATGCAGCTGTATTGCCAGCCATAAGCGCCTATTAGGTGTAAGTGCTCCCTGATTAATAGAGAGCCACGGTTCTCACACACTTACTACAAAATAAACAAGCAAACACACAAACAATCCAACAGCCCTCTCTACAAAAGTGAGGAACTGAAGGAAGTGAATGAAATGAGATGAAAATTAATGAAAAAATAAATCATAAAATAATAATAATAATAATAATAATAATAAATCAAATTAATTCGATTTTCAGAGAACTGAGCAAAAACAGAGAAAAAGTCCAGATTGGAGGGGTGGGGTTGGGTACCTGATTGGGGTGGGGGGCCTGATTGGGATGGGGTACCTAAATAGGTGGGGTACCTGTTAAGGGTGGGGTACCTGTTTGGGGTGGCTGAAGGGATGATGGCGATGATGATGGTGATGATGGGTGGAATCGTTGGGACACACTGGACTTTCCAAACGAATCAAACTTGGCAAATTCTGGGACTGAACTGTTTTGAGCTACAGTGTGAACAGAACACAAACGAACACAAAAGACGAGAATAAACAGAGAGGTAATAAAAAACAGTAGCTGATTCTACTGAGCTCTAACAACAGCACTGACACACACTTAAACACAAAGATGGCAATCAATCAATCAAATCAATAAATAATTAAAAATCTTATTCTCTAACCATCTTTCAATGGATGGTCCTTTAAAAAAATCTAAATAATATTAAATTTAATGAATAAAGTGTAAAAGTTCCACAGCAGGTTTTTTCCCCCTCAAATCGTACTCCCAAGACAAGAACCATTAACAAACCATTCTTTTTTGTAGTGTACACTCTTAGGGGGGTTCTTAAATGGTTCTTTGGAGCGATGTCATAGAAGAACTATGTCTGGTTCTCTGAAGAGCCCTTCAGTGGATGTAATAAGTACAAAAGAACCTCCACATGAAGTTGCTACAGCAATTAAAGTTATTTTTCCTAGAATCACCACAGTGTTAGAAGGGTCTCTGGAGCAATGCTTTTGGTACTCTAAAGAACCTTTTAATTGAGGTTGTTTCAGCTGAGTTTTTTTTTTAAAAGAACCACCCACAAAAAGGTTCTACAGTGTGGCGCACTGATGTACCTGAGGGTCTGTTGAAATGTGCAAAGTTGGCAAAGTTTGAGGTTCCAGCAGAGTGAGACGCGAAGATATCTCCACCCAGATCAGACAGAAGGTCGAACTTCTTCTCCTGCCCGGCAGGCTGGGACTGAGCTCGGCTGGACACCGGAGACTGAGACTGAGAGAGAGAGAGAGAGAGAGAGAGAGAGAGAGAGAGAGAGAGAGAGACAGAGACAGAGACAGACAGACAGAGAGAGAGAGAGAGAGAGAGAGAGAGACAGACAGACAGACAGAGAGACAGAGAGAGAGAGAGAGATGAGCATATTATAAAGAAGGGTCCCTTGAAAGGATTCAGCAGGTGAGGATATTTACTCGGGGTGGCAGAAGTAAAAATAAAAAAAATAATAATAATAGGTACAGTATGATGTCATGATACTTCAGGTTTTTAAAATTTATTAATGTTTGTAACATTATTAAAGAGCCCATATCCTACATTTCTCTTGTATTTTATTTCCCCCCCCTCAATGATCACTTCTGTGGCTTTATGTACCAAATACAAAATCACAAACAAAATTTTTTTACATGACCATTTTCCCACCTCTCTCTGTCCTGATTGGCTGTCCTGTATTGTGCCTAACTCAGAAAGCAGTCCAGCCTGAAACACTCCTTATAACTTCAGCATGAGTGGGCGGAGCTAAACTGCTGTAGTTGGATAAATTTAAAATCTTTGTTTTTCTGACATCGTGAAAACAGCAAATTCAAAACAGCCTGTTTTTTGCAGAATGTTTACATACATTAACTCTTAACTTATTAACTTAAATAAAAAAAATGAAAAAGAAAAATAAAAACTCCTTTTTTTTTATGATATTGGCCCTTCAAGCCCTCTATTAGACTGACAGATTACCAAAATGCACTTCTGTGTTCATCCACGCGGTGGTGCTGTTACTCTCTGGCAGGGATCGTTTAAGTGGAGTTTGTAATAAACTTCAATGAGCCTGTGGGGACAAAGGGCCCTTTCAGCCCGAGGCCTCAACATAATATTATGAATAGCAACTAAACACACTAACAACTGTTCTAAGTCAAAGTTCTCAAAAGAGGTCAAAAAGAAAAGAGTCTGCAGACGCTGAGTTTGTGGAAAGAGGGAAAAAGGCTTCTCCTTTATTTCAGCATCAGGTGACAGAGAGACCCAACTGCGCAAATACAGTGATCCAAACAGTTTATATGCCATTTATCTGGGGTAGTTTGATATCCTTACTTCTCAAATTGTGATATTAGCTCATTCTCTAACTGGTGCATCTCTTCGTCCATCGCATGATGAGCTCACTCCTCAAAACTGGTTTCAACCTGTTTTATCGGTCTGCTTTACCTTTCAAGGCCAACTTGCCCCTCTCTTCACTGGGTCAGTAGGTACACACAGGCCTGTCTGTGAACCCAGGGGCTTTCCAGTGTCTAGAACAAAGGACACAATAGTAGGGCCGCGGTCCGAGTCCAGACCCAGACACTGTCCTATGCAGACCAGGACCTATAACCGATAAACTATAGAGAATTGTTTAATTTGGATGGGGTGGTCCTATTTTAATCAGCGTAACTTTTCTAGCCTTTACGGTAGCTTTAGCTTCCCGGGAGACTCACAGAATCACATGCGCTGTACATATCACGTGTGACGCTACTCAGCCAATCAGATCTGTGCATTACGATGAGCACTGAGACTCAAGAGAGTGAGGCACACACAGGGGAGGGACGAGGCGAGAAACAGCAGAAAGTGAGTCAGAGGGAAGTTATTTCACATGGCGTGATCTAAAAAGAGAAAACTGACAATAAATATTGTTGAAATATGACGGAATTGTACTTTATTTGATTTGATATTCAGTTGTTGACTGTATAAGATGCTGATATACCTACTAGGCTACCTCAGTAAACAGTATATGGCACTGAATCATAATGTAAGTTGGACATTATGATGTTCTGGACCTTTGCTTGAGGAAATTGTCTCTAACTGGACCTTACTGAATTTTAATTAAAGACCCCTGGTCTAGAATCTCCTATGCAGACAGACTAAGGCCGACTCTGTGAGAGAATTAATATTCTCTGTTAGCCAATACTACCTATTTGGTTATTGATTACAAGATCTAATCTATTTGATTACTGATTAAGGGAATATTTATTCGAAATCTCCGTCAGGCCACAACACTTAGCATTTCTAATCGTTAAAAAGGTAAAAACACACCGTGGCTCAAGCATCGTGATGGCATCACATCGTGCAGGTATTCCCACTCCTAGATTTCGCGGCTGCAGAGTTTACGATTGTAGTCAAGCGTGTGCAGGTGGAGTTACCTGGCTGGATGGAGTTTTGTTTAGATGCAGCGTTTTGATTGGCTGAGGCAGGACCTCCGGGGTGCTGCTTGTGCTGCTCGCTGAGGAACCAGAGATGGAGGCCTGAACGGAGGCCAGAACCTTCGCCTGCTCTGGAGGAACGTACCTGCACATAAAACACAGAGTTATAAGTGGTTATTAATGCGGTTACATAGCTGCCTGTGCAGTGACGTATTCTAGAGGCAGGGGTGGGCAAACCGATCACACTGATTTATCAGTCTACTCAGGCTTTAGCAGAGCTCAGTAACACTGAGATTAATAACTGATCACATTGATTTATCAGTCTACTCAGGCTTTAGCAGAGCTCAGTAATGCTGAGATTAATAACTGATCACATTGATTTATCAGTCCACTCAGGCTTTAGCAGAGCTCAGTAACACTGAGATTAATAACTGATCACATTGATTTATCAGTCTACTCAGGCTTTAGCAGAGCTCAGTAATGCTGAGATTAATAACTGATCAAATTGATTTATCAGTCTACTCAGGCTTTAGCAGAGCTCAGTAACACAGATTAATAACCGATCACATTGATTTATCAGTCTACTCAGGCTTTAGCAGGAACGTGTTTGTAAAGAAGCCATGTTTGAGTTCTTCTTCAGAGTACGTCTTTACATGTTGTGCTGATTTTAAAGTAGTTCGTAAACAAGCACTGATGGTGTTTCTTTTAAAGATGGTTCATATATTTTTTTAATTTAATGGGTAAAGTATTCTAAAAATATTTGCCTGAAAATTTAAAAAGTGACTGTATTCTGAATGCTGCCTTTATAAAACATAACAGACTGAATACAGATACTTAATTTCTGTATTCTGAATATATATTCCCAACACTTATATTCCATTACATCCCAATCCTGTCTCGACGTTAGCTCAGGCCCAGCTCCAGATCCTCCAATCGCATGTGGAGCATCTGATACGACGTCTGATATTAATTATACACTAAAGTGCTCACAACCGTCTGCTGCACTCTGACTGGCTATTCACACTTCCCAATCTTTTGTATATCAGGCTAAACACATCATCAGCAAGTGGCTGCCTTTTCTTCAGAGTGATAAGAATTAGCCAGATTTACTCACTGGACTGTGGAAGCTGTGAAGCTGTCGAGTCTCCTGTTTCAGTGGAGGTGATTCAGTATTTAAACACAGCTAGAAAATAATAAAGGCTCTTCTGACAGTGAAGAAAGCAATATGGAAATTTCGTGCAGGAACTGAAGATCTACATTCCTGCACTGTTTTATGGATGTTTGGTTCCGGAGGGGGGGCTGCCAGACTGAATCGAGTAAAGGCTGGTACAGTGGTCCCTTTGTCTGTGGCAACCGAAAAGATCTGGAACAGGATCATGTTTAGTTTGAGTTTATTTTGCTTAGTTGTGCATTTCTGTGTGTCTTACACAGAAATGCCGTTGGCTCAACGGCTCCGTCAAATCAAAGAACAGATGCATTTTAAACAGACTACTAACAATGCTAAGGAAGATCAACCAGCACGTACGCTCCCAAAACAGGCCAAGCCCAGAATGGCAATAAGCTTTTAACTAGGGATGCACCGAATATTCGGCAACCAAATTATCCAGCCGAAAATGGCCAAAAAAACAAAACGCATGCAGTGTTCGGCTGAATAAGTGAAAAGACCGAATAATTTATACTGAACACTGGCGCCATTACCTTTTTCTAGTTCTAGTTTTTGGGGGACAAATAAAAATATTTTGTTTTACTAATTTATTTAAGTCATATTGACATTTTATTTTTACTTTTACTGGTGGGGCAAATAATTTTTTTTCCTTCTCTTCTAATTTTTTTTTTTTAAGTCATATTGTGCTTTGTTGGGATGTCTGTTGGGATGTTAATGTTCAGTGTTCAATAAATGTTTTTTCTTTGAAAACCAAGACAAAAATACAATTAGCCTATTTAATACATGCAATGGTGAAAAAGTGGTAAAATTGATGACACACTGTGAAAAACCATGCTTGGTATTCGGTATTTGAAATGTTTCATTTTGTTCGGTTTTGGCCAAAAATGTTCATTTCGGTGCATCCCTACATTTAACGATCTTAACTAAGGATGCATCGATACTGAAACTAGTATCAGGTATTGAAAAACATTGACAAGCTAGTTTGTGTTTAATGTGAAACCAAATACTCTTTATAGAGTTAAGTCTGGAAAAACAGTTTTGATCTTGGTCAATTTTTTTTTTTAAACAGTGTACAACAGAAAATTCCCCCTGAATGGAGTGTTTGCTTTAATAACAATGAGAAATAGAAGCCAGAAGAACAACATAAATTTCCCAATTCGTACATCAACCACCTCCCTAATTTTCTATTAGGATTATTTTGACAGTTTTGAAAGTGGCTGAAGTTCACATCACATTTTTAAAGGTTATGCCAGCTGACAAATAACCTGAGTAAGTTTTTCACCTTAATTTATAAAAGTTTTTTAATCATAATTTAGATTTAATCTTCACTAATGTGATGAAAACTCACCTTTAGCCACAAATTGCTGGCAGAAAAGGCACTTTGTCTCCTGAGGGTTTTTCTGCAGCACTGTTCTGAAAATCACCTGCACCTCACGCAAAATAAATGGTTTGTGATTGGCTGCTCTGCAAGTCAGTCTACTTTAATAGCCCCTTCCTGTTAAAGTAGGTGGTCCTTGGTCAAGCCAAACAACAAAAGCGACCAGACTTTCTGCCCATAGTCAGAAGTCCGGCCTGCGAACTCAAGCAAACTTGAGCTAAACTCAGTTTAATCAGCAGCTGAAGGTAAAGGAGAGTCATATTATTTATTATTATTATTTATTATTATTAATTACAGCTTTTTTATGTTTGATTTCAGAACAAAAGCGATCTGAACCAGCTGCAGCTCTAAAAAAGAGAAAAGGCCTTGCGCAGGTTCTCCTCACCATCTCTTCTTCTCATATTTCTCCTGGAGGAACTCCTTCACTTTCTGAGGCTCGCGGAAGTCTGGAACTGCGGAGCTCCGGTCATCATACAGCCCGAGCCAGATGTGTTTACACACCTGTATACACAAAACAGAGCATAAGAGAGAGTCTTTAAAAATGTTCATCTGGAGCCGTATTACAGAAACTTCTTCACTCTGAAATCTGATCTCCAGATAAGAAAACAGCATCACACAAACATCCTAACTAGACTAAACCTCCTAAATCCTGTCCTAACTTTAGGATGAACCCCAACAGGGTCCTCACTTCTGTTTAAGGTCCGTTTCTATGGTTTTTAGGCAGCTGTGTCAGCAGCATAGTTCACTACCAGCATAATGAGCTCCATTTATCTCTACTGTAAAACGCTGCTTTCACTGTGAGATGATTTTCTTTTCTAACTCTGCGTTTTAAAGATCTCAGACGCTGCAGACTCGATCTCCACCGCCCCTCTGATCACCTTCGTGTGTTAATGTTGATGATGAAATATTACAGTGATGGTGGTGAATAATGAGGAGACGGAGCTGAACGTGTGTCTGTTTATTAGGAGGAGTAACGTTAGCGCGCTCGGCTAAAGCGTTTGGGAAATGGAGACTGAAACTGGGGATCAGCGACTCTGATAAACAGCAGGGGGCGCTCTCACAGTATTCACAACTTCCAGTTTATCAGTCTTTAGTTCTGTTTTTTACATCAGTAACAGCAGCTGTGACTCACATGTTTAACATTGTTTTGATTACGTGTTTACGTTTCAGCTGTGTGTGTTTATGGTCGGTTGCTAGGAAACAGACATGTCAGCTGATTATCGACTTTGATCGACTAGGTTGGGATTACCTAACTGGAGATAAGATGCTGTAAGACAAGATAAAATTACAGAATGAAGATCAGATTTGATTCTGTAATACGAATAAATCTTATCTTGACCCGTCAGATCTTAACTTAGGACAAAAAGAGAGGAAATTTCTGTAATTCGGCCCTTAACTATAAACCACAGAGCGTAGAGACTCATTCTTTAAGAAGTGTTAGAAAAAGACAGAAATGGCGCTTTAGGAAGCGACACGTTGGTAAATGATTTCTTTCTTCAGTGCATCATGAAATCCTTTTGGCGGTAGGAAACGATGGAAATGATGCATTAGGAAATTACGTCTTAGGAACCTCCACATTAGGAAACCTTGTAACTCCATTTTTGTCGTTTTTCAGTTTTTGAAATAATTTGAAAATACCTGTTATGATGAATGGACCAAAAGAAACGACCCAAAATGACTTGGAAAAAAGTCTGGTTCCATTGACTTACATTAAAAGTGAAGTAGGTTTTGTCCTTCTCCTGTAAAGTTACCATTTTGGAGATATGAGGTTTTATTTTGACAGCAGCGAAATGATTCTTAATTCGATACATCATGAAATCCTAGCATTAGGAAATACTGGAAACGATGCATTAGGAAATGATGGAAACAACACTTTAGGAAACAGTGGAAACTGTATGTCAGTAAAATGACGCATTACAAAGTGTCGTGTTTGGAAGCTTCACATTAGGAAAAAATGAAAATGATGCTTTAGGAACTGATTCTTAATTCTGTGCACCATGAAATCCTACAGGCTTTAGGAAATATTGGAAACGATGCCTTAGTAAACGACGAAATTGATGCGTTAGGAAACAATTCTTTATTCTGTGCATCATAAGAAAAAATCCTGTTGGCGTCTTTTTGGTACAATTTAGAATTATTTTTAAAAATACACTGAATCCCCTCGGAATCATAAGGTTCTGTCTTATGACAGTTTTGAGATGTTGAGCTTTAAAGATTTTGGATTCCAAATAGTTAAACTGAGACGTGGAGCACGTCTTAATATATATGAAAATGACTGACACCCTAAATGTACTCTAAATGTACAAAATCAAAACCCTATCAAATCTGTAAATTCGTTTTTTTTGGAACCGGTCAAATGCAGGCAGAACCTTCTAATCCTGAGAACTCACTTCCTGCTCAGAGTTGTAAGGTTCTACCTGACAAAACATGAAGAAGCGGAACACAAACAGTTTATGCTCGTAAATTGCTTTGAATCATAAAATTAGTGTCTACATTATCAAAAAGTTTTATAGTCATTTAATTCTTTCTATTTTAATAATAAACTGTCCCAGCAGGTCAGTCAGTGTAGCAGGTCAGTCTAAAGACTGTATGAGGTTCTGTTTTAGATCAGAAATGTGACTCTGAATGTGGTTTCGGGAGAAAGAAGAAAAATGGATGGATTAATGAAATCAATGTTTATGTTGTAATTAAGACCCCATCAGTTCAAATGTTCACTGTTTAATTACCTTTAAAACGTAAAAAATTATAACGTTTCATAAAGTTTTATAAACTTTTCCCGCAGTCGCTGAGCGGCGGCACGACAAAGAAGCAGAACCTGATTGGTCCTCTTGTGTGTATTCAAAGTGCTGATTGGCTCAGAGAGAACCTTATAGAACCAAGTTAGAGTTTGACTTTGAAGAGAGAACCTTTTTGTTTTCTAGATAAAGAGCCCAAGCTTAAAAGAACACACCTCACATTATGATAAGAAGTGTCACAGAATACGGGGGAAAAAAAACTCAAATCTGAAAAAATATCAGACAGAACCTGGTAATAATTCCAAGGGGACGAAACGTGTCGAGCGCACACTTCACTGGATATTTATACAATCTAGTAAAATCGACTTTAACTCTTTAATGTGAGCAGCTGAATCTCCACATTCATACTGATGAACTCTGCACCCCTAACACCGCTCGGTACCTCATTGCTGTGCTTCTGTAGGAAGTCGATCTCCTGCTGCGTGAAGGTGGTCATGGAGATGGACTTCACTCTGTGCGGGGGGTTGAGCCCTCGCCTGGAACACAAACACACAAACGACGACTTTACACACAAACAATAAGTCAAGTTTAGCAAATGAAAGACCAGCGAGGATGAAACTAAGGGTGCAACGATTATTCGACTTCGGCCTTTCTTATTTTCACCCCTACCCCTTGTTTTCGAGTGTCACCCTAACCCCTTGGAACTGAGTTACAGGGTAGTGGTTGAAATCTACCCTCTGAAATGGGACCCTCAAATAAAAAGAGCATCACTTCATTAACAGCTACCAGCGCTGCTCTGTAGGCGACCCTGCCAGTCTGCAGTGACAGCAGAGGAGGGTAAAGTTCAGCTCCTCACTGCTGGGCTTTAGTTACATTTATGGCATCATATGATCTTCAAAGAGGGGGCAATTATTTATTATCACCCACCCCTAATTCTTCAGTGATATGAAGCTGAAGTCAGATATTCACCAGATTCTTGTTCAAATTTTCCCGTTCCACCTTAAACGGAGCAGCAGTTACATTCTGGCGCTTCAGGCGTCAGAACTGCTGGACTATTTAAGGTGGAACAGGAAAGTTATCCAGCTAGCTACCGAGACATTAGCATGCTGTTAGTGATTTTTTATGCTTGTTATGAAGAAAAGAACCAAAATACACTGAAACGACATTAAACTAAGATAAAACAGTGGTTATCGTAATTTTTAACAGAGAAAATTCTCACATTTGTGTGTTTCTTTGGTCTCTTGTTCTCCATCTTGCCGGTTTTTCTTTTTCTTTTTTCCCATAACTCTCTGTTTGGAGTCTCTGAGAAACCCCCGTTTGGAGGGTCATGTAGCCCCAACACTTCGCCCTCCCCCTCTATCTCAAGAATCAGGACGCCCTACCCCTAGACGAGAACACGCAAAACAGAGGATTAGGGCTGAGTGGTAGGGGCGAGGGGTGAAATGGGTTTGGGCCTTAGTCAACTAAAATCGACAACCAAATTAGTTGGCAACTAATTTAATAGTCGTTTCGTTGGTGATGTCATCACGCGTGTTTCTCGCGCTCACTAGGAATGTTCAGACATCACCGCTAGTAGTTGATAAAAGCACAACGGCAGCCTCGAGAACAAAATCCTTAAAACTGTGAGAGCATTTCTCACTAAACTCCAACTCCAGATTGTCCAGTCTGATTGTGTGATCCAGGCTTGTACACAGCTTTTTGATCGGATACACAGATTCCGTGTTTCCGGAATTTTTTCCCATAGAGAATGAATGGGGTGAGAAACTGCATGACAATCTACTGTACTTCTGCGTGGCCTAAAGACACCATTTCGCATACACTATCTCAGGGCAGGCCCCCAAGCACGAATTCACTGTTGTTCTGACCCGCACTCACCTTTTTCTCTTTTCCATCCCTCGTTTCTCCCATAGACTCCCATTCATTTTTGTCACCACACAAAATCTATTACTTTTTTGCCCGACAGCCACGACACTACATGTCACAACTCAGGGCAGGTCCCCAAACTCTAATCCACAGCCACACTGACCCGCACTCCTCTATATGTCGTTTATTCATCCCTCGTTCCTCCCATAGAGTCCCATTCATTTTCGCCCTTACACAAACCACATTATTTCTTTTGCCCGACAGCCAACAAAGTACATGCCCTCACTTAGGGCAGGTGCTCAAGCTCTAATCCACAGCCACACTGACCTGCGCTCCTCTGTGTGTCGTTTTTTCATCCCTCACTCCTCCCATAGAGTCACATTCATTTTCTACCCCAAAAAAGCCTTCAAAAACTGGCACCATTTTCTTTAAGTGTTCGTTTTATGGTCTTGGGCAGCAAAACTAGCATAACTTCCTTTAAATGTCAGCATAATTCCCTTAAAACATTCATTTAATGGTCTCAAAACAGCAAAGCCCTGTAAATAAAACCAGCATAGTTGCTGTAACTGTTTGTTTAGTTGTCTGTCTGTTAATTTATGACAGAAAAACTAAATGTTTAAATATCTAAACCAGCTAGAGCTGGGCGATATGGCCAAAAATGTTATCACGATGAACAAAATTCATATCGTTCGATATCGATATCGTGTTTTAAACTATCCTTTATGTTCAGAACATGACGAACACTCGCCCAACAATGGAACATTTCACAGATCTGTCATGGGAGAGTGGGAGAAAGTGTCTGCTGAGCTGTTTTTACCAGCTGGAAAAGCACGGCTATTTTGTAATAGTCATAATTTAAGAAAGAAAACAGATTATTTTAGCTGGTGCCGAGCGCTCGGCTACCCCGCTACACATGACATCACAGTATTCAGACACCAGCTAGACGACTGGATTTCTCTATACTATCGTAGTAGTTTAAGGGGTGAACCGCAAAATATCAACACCAGACAAACAAAGTCCTCCTTTTAGGTACGTTTAAACTGAAAGCGGAGCTTTTGTGTTGTGTTTGATCTACAGTATCATCAGTTCTCCGTGCTGTGTGAGTGACGGAGCTGCTTCAAGTTAGCCAGCTGCTAAAAACAGCTAGCCTGGAAAGCTAGCGCTCTCCCGCTCTCCACTGCCTCACAGCTTCCTCAGTTTACTTTCGTTTAAATCAGGGCTGTAATTTACATGAACCCACTTCTTTCTTTCACTTTCGTTGCTTGGGAATGCACTAATACTGAAATATGACTGTCCGAGCGCTGTAACAGCGCTGTAGTTGTGAGGATTGTGAATGCATAACTCCGCGTTTCAGCCGTTGCTAAAGACTCATCTTCCTCGTGACCCCCTCCCTCTCTAATCATGTCGAAAAACTCGGAAGTGCGCCCTCTCCTGGCGACAGCAGAGCAGTGTCGCTTTCCTTGCAGTAGAAAACGCCACGAAGGCTTTCGCTGAACGTGGGAGTGTGAGAGTGCTGTATTATATCGAACATTTATCGAACATGTCGTATCGCTCTATCGAGGAAAAGTTATTTCGCGATAATTATCGTTATCGTTTTATCGCCCAGCCCTAAAACCAGCATAATTTACTTTAAATAAAACTACAGTTTCTAGGTATGTATATCTATGGCTACAGCAGTGTTAGCACAGCGTCAGCGTAACTTCCTCTAAACAGAACTAGTTTTACACTCCTAAAAAAGATGGTTCTTCAAGGGTTCTTCAGTAAAGGTACTGGTCCTGTTTAGAACCATTTCATGCTTAAGTAGTTCCTTGCATGGTGAAAGCATCACTCAGACTGATGGAGAATGTTTTGTATATGTGGTTCTATATAGAGACTTTTTGAAAAAGGTTCTATATAGCAGCAAAAAGTGTTGTTAAAACCTTGACACCATAACAGCCAAACCATTTTTTCGGTGCTATATAGAACCCTTTTCAAAAAGGTTCTACACAGAACTTTTTACAGCACATTCTCCATCTATCTGAGGAACGAGTTCACCATGCAAAGAACTATTTAGTCATGCAAATGGTACTTTGAGTGTTTGTGGTTCTATATAGAACCATTTTCTTTACTAAAGAACCCCTGAAGAACCAGCCTTCTCAAGAGTATATTTAGCACCAACAAGGGTTCTTCTATTTTTACAAAGTCAAGCATTTAATAATCACAGAACTGTTTTGGTGCTATATAGAACCCCTTTCAAAAAGGTTCTATATAGAACATAAGACAACACACTCCCCATCAATTTAATAACCATTTCACCATGCAAAGAACCCTTTAAGCATGCAAATGGTTCTTTGAATGTGCATGGTTCTACACAGACCATTTTTTTTCTCTAAAGAACCCTCAAAGAACTATATTTTCAAGCCTGTATATAGCACCAACAAGGGTTCTTCTATTATTACAATGTCAAGCTTTTAACAACTGCAGAACCCTTTTGGTGCTATATAGAACCCTTTTCAAAAAGGTTCTACACAGAACCTTTTACAGCACATTCTCCATCAATCTGAGGAACGAGTTCACCATGCAAAGAACTACTTAGTCAAGCAAATGGTTCTTTGAGTGTTTGTGGTTCTATATAGAACCATTTACCTTTACTAAAGAACCCCTGAAGAACCATCCTTACTGAGAACATATATAGCACCAACAAGGGTTCTTCTATTTTTACCAGCAACAACTGCAGAACCGTTTTGGTGCTATATAGAACCCTTATCAAAAAGCTTTTATACAGAACATAGACAGCACGTTCCACATCAATTTAAGAACAACTGTGCCATGCAAAGAACCATTTAAGCATGAAATGGTTCTTTGAGTGTTCATGGTTCTATACAGACCATTTCCTTTCTCTAAAGAACCCTCGAACAACTATATTTTCAAGTCTGTAAATAGCACCAACAAGGGTTCTTCTATTGTTACAACGTAAAGCTTTTAACAATCACAGAACCCTTTTCGGTACTATGTAGAACCCTTTTCAAAAAGGTTCTTTACAGAACCATAGACAAAACATTCTCCATCGACTCATGAACCACTTCACCATGCAAAGAACATTTAAGCATGTAATGGTTCTATATAGAACTCATGGTTCTAAACATTACTGTTCCCTTTACCCGTAAGGTACCACCTTTTTAAGTGGGTGTGTTTAATAGTAGCATGAAGGCAAAACTGCAACAGTTCTAGATCAGCCTGTTTGTATTTTAATAAATGTTCCCTTTAAATATTCATCTAATTTCCCCACAACAGCAAATCTGTTATCGTTTCTAAACTGGCGCCGTTTCCTTATAAAAGGCTCGTTAATCTCAGTCAGAATCAGAGTTTAAAGTAACCTGCTGCAGTACAGTAAACAGGTGTGTCACATACCTGCAGATAACCTTTACTGCTCTGTAAACTGGGCAGAGTTACGCATGTCGACCTACCAGGGTGACCTCACGAAGAGCTTCCTTTACAGTGGTGGTGATAGGAACCAGGTGTCGCCATGACTACAACACAAATATAGACATTTTATTTACTATCCAGAACCACCAGTGAACCTACATGAGTCTTCTGAGTTTATATGGAATGTTGATGATGGAAAATAGTGGAAAATCTGAAATAATAAGTTTTCTTTGGGGACTATATTCTCTGCATGTATCCCTCCACCATGAATGGAGTTTAAGTTCTCTAAACTATCATAAAACAGCGTCTCAGTCATCAGGCAGTGAATTCATAACCATTTCATGTAGGAACTTTCTGTGAGGGAGCTTTTAGAGGTGGACATCTGGTTCCTATCACCACCACTGTGAACAGTTCTGACTCGGTAAGTTTCACCAAACCACTCTGAATGACCGAGTTTGATGTAGCATGTAAACACGGTTAAAGTTTCAACACACACACACTCTTAAAAAAAGATTCTTCAAGGGTTCTTTAGTAAAGAAAATGGTTCTATACAGAACCATGAACACTCCAAGACCATGCTTACACCAAGAACCATGTTTAAGTCAAACATGGAGAACACATTATATACGGTTCTATATAGTATCTAAAATTATTCTTCTACTGTGATAAGCTTGACATCATAACGATAGCAGAACCCTTTTCGGTGCTATGTAGAACCCTTTTCAAAAGGGCTCTAGGTAGAACCATATACACCACATTCTCCATCAATCTGAAGAACGATTTCACCATGGAAAGCACCATTTAAGCATGCAAATGGTTCTTGAGTGTTCATGGTTTAGTACTGTCTTTACTAAAGAACCCTTCAAGAACCACCTTTATTAACAGTGTAGCATTTAAACCCGAGTCCTTACAGCCCACATATGCAAAAACAGCCTGTTATGAAATCTCTGTCTTTGTGATGTCATACATCCACCTATTCAGTCTAAGGGTCGGCGATATGGCGAATATATAATGTCATGATAATCTAAATATTGTCACAGTACATGATACGCATCACAATATTTATTTTTTCTGAGATTTCATAAGTTGGAACAGACAAAAAAGAACCTTCAGTGCCACACATAGAACAACAACAACAACAACAATTATTATTATTATTATTATTATTATTATTATTATTATAATAAACAACCTACAACTACAATGATTTTTATTAAATGTTTTACACACTGAACTGCACTAAATCCATAAAAACTACTGAAGATATACCCAATATACTCTGAAAAGTTTGTTGTGACATAATTTACCATGATAACAATAAAGGATCATCATACCGTCCACCCCGAATTCAGCCTACAGCCGTTAAGCCCCGCCCACAGTGAATCAGTACACAGCTTATTCATAACCATTTCATGTGAGGGGGCTTTCAGAGGTGGACGTCTGGTTCCCATCACCAGATCAGATCTGATGTGGTTTTACGCTGTCCAGACTGCTAAAAACCAATCTGGACACAATCTGGATAAGCCAAAAGTCAGATTTGATGTGGTTTACACTGTCTAGACCATTAAAAATCAATCTGGATACAATCTGGATATGCCAAAAATCATATCTAATGGGGTTTTTTGCTGTCTAGACTATCAAAAACCAATCTGGATATGCTAAAAGTCTGATTCAGTGTGGTTTTGTGCTGTATAGACCATCAAAAATCAATCTGGATACAATCTGAATACGCCAAAAATCTGATTCGGTGTGGTTTTGTGCTGTACAGACCATCAAAAATCAATCTGGATACAATCTGGATATGCCAAAAATCTGATTCAATGTGGTTTTGTGCTGTATAGACCATCAAAAATCAATCTGGATATGCCAAAAGTCTGATTCAGTGTGGTTTTGTGCTGTACAGACCATCAAAAATCAATCTGGATACAATCTGGAAATGCCAAAAGTCTGATTCAGTGTGGTTTTGTGCTGTACAGACCATCAAAAATCAATCTGGATATACCAAAAATCAGATCTGGGTCGGCAGTCTGAACAGGGCCTTAAAGGCACAGTATCAAAACCAGCCTGTTTAATTCTAAGAGAGGTTAGAAAACGGACCTGTTTACACAAACTCCAGTACACAGATGTCACAAGTGGACAATGAGACACAAAAGAAGTCCTCCCTGGCTCTGGAGACCCTCACAGCTTTGGGAAAGGGTTACAGAACGCTGGTCATCACTCATCAGTGACGAAATGTGGACATTAGTGGTGCTGATGTTGGAAGACTCCACTCCAACTCATCCCAAAGGTACTGGATGGGGCTCCATCACTGCTCCAGTGCTGGGGGGCTTTAAACCCCTCTGGCCCCATTCTATTGCTCAGTGCCTTTCTATGGGGGATTATACAGGCTGCGCGCGAAAGGCGCACCTTAAATCTTGTCTGGAGACTTCTGGACATGCACTGCATGATTAAGCATTCCGGATGAACGTTTCTGAAACAGCAGGGTGGGAAAAAGCGAGGCTCCTCGGTCGAATTTTCCGTTCCACCTTAAATGCTGCAGCCCACAATGTAACTGCTGCAGCATTTAAGGTGGAACGGAAAATTCAGAGAGCTCCGCCCTGCATACACACAGACTTTTCGGCCCTTTTACTCACAGTATCCCCGAGCAGGTGGTGCAGACGAACGAGCCCACCGTCATGTTGGCGTATGTGGGTCCTCTCTGCGCGCAGTCGAAGCAGCTCCTGTTGGGCGGCAGCGCCAGCATCTCCCGCAGGAGCTTCAGGTGCTGCTCCTCCTGCCGCCGCTTCGCAGCCATGGCTCGGCTCCGGGACGGGGTTCAGGGGGGCTCGGGAGGGGGCAGGAGGGCAGGTCAGGCTTCTACAGCCCCAGCACAGGGGGGCAGCGCGGGGGCAGAAGGGCTGGAGCCGCCAGGCACGGCCATAAACACGCTCTGCTTCTGGGAAAAACACACACACACACGGGCCTTTATGGAGCTGCTGGAGCTGCGCCTCTAGTGGACTGGAGAGGAATAAACCAGGAAAAAAACGGGAATCAACCAGGAATTAATGGATCAGGCCTGGATGACCACACTGAGTTACTGCAGCTGAAGGAGAATTCCACTGTTCTTTTCTAAGGAGACCCTAAGAGGACATCTTTTAAAAAAAGGTGTGGCCTCAAATTAATATACTGAAGCACAATATACTATATTGAGGCCACAAATTACTATATTGAACTCACAAATTACTGCACTGAGGCCACAAATTAATAAATTGAGGCCATGAATTACTATGTTAAGGCCACAAGTTACTATATTGAAGCTACAAGTTCCTATATTGAGCTCACAAATTTCTACATTGAGGCCACGGATTACTATATTGAGGCCACAAATTGTTCTATTGAAGCCACACATTACTACATTGAGCTCACAAATCACTATATTGTGCCCACAAATTATTATATCGAAGCCACGACTTACTATATTGAGGCCACAAATCACTATATTGCGCCCACAAATTATTATATTGAAGCCACGACTTACTATATTGAGGCCACAAATTACTATATTGAGGCCACAAATTATTACATTGAGGCCATGAATTACTATATTGAGGCCACAAATCACTATATTGTGCCCACAAATTATTATATCGAAGCCACGACTTACTATATTGAGGCCACAAATCACTATATTGAGGCCACAAATTACTGTATTGAAGCTATGACTTACTATATTGAGACCACAAATTACTATATTGAGGCAACAAATTATTACATTGAGGCCACGAAATTACTATATTGAAGCTATGACTTACTATATTGTGGCCACAAATTACTTCTTACTTCTTATTACAACTTAAGTTGTGGCCTTGATGTATTAATTCATGTCATCTTAGGGTCTCCATATTGTTCATAATTCAGTCGTTGCGATAAAAACAAGATGAGATGTAAACAGAGAGATTCAGAGTGGTTTGGTGTGAAATGGTTCAGATGTCTTTACAGTGGTGGTGATAGGAACCAGGGGTCGCCATGACTACAACACAAATATAGACATTTTATTTACTATCCAGAACCACCAAAGAAGTATCTCCAAAATGGCAACTTTACAGGAGAGGGCGAAGCGTTCTTAACTCCTAATGTGAGTTACTGTAAAGATGTTATTCCTGTTTTGGAGCATTTTAATGGTCATGACATTTTCAGTCAATGTGAAGGGAAGCTGCTGTGCTCAAATGTAGAAAAATGAAAATCAGAAGAAATGGAGTTATTATGGACTATAATGTAGTTAGTTCTGGACAGTGAGGATATGCTGGTCTATGCTGGCTTTTCTAGTAAGCTAATACAGCTAATAGGTAATGGAAGTCTATATATGATCCTTTTTGTGTGACATAGACCTCCATTATATTAGCCTCAAGAACACACTGCAAACATAAAGAAGCAAACCTCAGACAGCAAATGTGTCCCGACTGACTAACTCAGAGGAGAGAAATATTCTAAATGAATCTCCTCCTGATCTCAGGTTCTTCTCCTGGACACAGTTCAGTCCAGTTTGAGATCAGAGTGAGACTGAAACTGTTTTCTCCTGTTTCTGAAATTCGGCTCCTGAGAAATAAAACTCAGATTTTCTCACTTTGATCAAAACATTGTCACACATATGGATTAACTCTTTAGTGTCTGACTCGTCTCAGCCCAGTCTGAGCCGAGTAATATCTCTGTAAGAAAAGTGTGAGATCTCATTGTTTCCTACATAAATAGCTCTGTTCTAGATCACAGAACTCTGTCAGTGCAGAAGGAGAACTCAAACTTTTCCCATTCATCACCAGAACTTCTCACAGTGAAATGCTGTTGTTGATCTCCTCTTTTCTCCCAACAGGGGTTTGGGAGAGACAGTTCAGAGACCAGTGATCCTTCATTAATATAATATTGAGATCTGCTTTATTTCTCTGAGACAAACGTAGCCTCCACCGGTGGTTCCAAAACGCACTTCGTCATATTCTTCATAACTTTCATATTTCATAAGCTTCATTCTAAAGGTGGGGGTCGTATGAGAGCTGTAACTGTCTTCTTTCCAGTCAAATAGATGGGTGATGTCATTTTAAACCCTTATAATAAAAGAAGCTGAACTCATTTTTTTTGTCTACTAAAATTCGACCCATTTTTCCGCAAATCTGGGCTATAAACTATAAACAGACGGCGTCTCTTCAGTGATCTGCTCTGTAAACATTATTTTTAAAAAATAATACAAAGAGCGTCTAAGATTTTTGGCTTTCAGCAGTAAATTGTAAGTATATAGCGACATGTGTGATCATAAAACACATGTTCTGTTAATTTGAGGGGAGCTTTTACAAAAAATAAATAAATAAAATAAAAATTTACATTTATTTCATGCAGTTACTGAATAATTTGCCTTACGATTTGGTCAAGTAAATTCAGATGGACAAACCAAAATACACCCCGGTCAATAAGAGCTTAAGAAAGAAATTCTGTCCTCTGATAAATCTGAGTTTTTCAGTTACCTTTCATGTAGAAGTAAAGCCAGTCTAAACGTCTGAGATTAAAAAGATAAACGAGCGCGTCAGTCCAAGTTCCTAGCACATTCAGCATCTGTCAGTGTGGGAAGTGAGTTTGTATGGTTCTGTTGTTCTCAGGGTCTTAAATAAACTGCTGAAGCTCCAAAGCACAGCAGTGCAGGTACTGAGAGCAGCAGAGCTTTACTCTTTAGAGGGAGACTCCAGGCAAAATAAAAACCATATCCATCCCTACACACTTAAAAAAGATGGTTCTTCGAGGGTTCTTTAGTAAAGAAATTGGTTTTATATAGAACCGTGAACACTCAAAGAACCCCTTGCATGGTTAAAGGGTTGTTTGCATGGTGAAATTCATATTGATGGAGAATGTGTTGTCGATGGTTCTGTATAGAACCTTTTTCAAAACGGGGTTCTTCTACTGTAACAAGCTTGTATCGTAACAATAGCAGAATCCTTTTCGAAAAAAGGTTCTATACAGAACCATCAACAACACATTCTCCATCAATATGAAGAACCATTTCACCATGCAAAGAACCCTTTAATCACGCAAAGGGTTCTTTGAGTGTTCACGGTTCTATATAGAACTGTTTTCTTTACTAAAGAACCCTTGAAGAACCATTGTCTTTAAAAGTCTACAGTGGTGCTTGAAAGTTTGTGAACCCTTTAGAATTTTCTATATTTCTGCATAAATTTGACCTAAAACTTCATCGGATTTTCACACAAGTCCAGATAAAGAGAACCAAATTAAACAAGTGACACAGAAATATTAGACTTTGTCAATTATATATTGAGGAAAATGATCCAGTATTGAAAATCTGATGATGTTTTAGGTCAAATTTAAGCACAACTATATAAAATAATATCTAAAGGGTTCATAAACTTTAGCCCACTGAACATCTGTTGTAAACGTGCCTATTTGCTTCCCTCAGCGGTGCTGCAGCAGCTTCTACAGTGAGATTTTCCAGTTTGAAGACTGAAACTGATGTATGTTGAAAGTGTGTGGAACCTTGAAAGACTACAACTTCTTCGTGGCAGCTAAAATTTTGGGAGTCGTGAAATAATCTGAATCTCAAATGCTACGAAGCAGAATATCTTATCACAGCCGTAGAACTGTCTTCATCATTACAGTGGAGAGAACTGACTGTGCAAAACAACAGAAATAACTCATCTGATCAGGCACTGAAAGATGAAGTGCTAAAGTCAGCAAGGTAGCGACCTCAGCTGCCTCAGTTTGGCTCATTTTCTCCTGCTGAGACGATAAAAACTCGTCTCTGGCTGAATAAAGACAATCAAATACTGTTTTTGGTTTGACAGTCGAGGTACGAGTTACTTATTAGCCTGTAGCTCAGGGTAAGGGTCATTCTATAGAAATGTCTGTTTTTGTGTCCCTAGTGTTTACAGATATATTACACTTAAAAACATGTTAGGGCTACAATTTTTATACATTTTCAAATAAAACAATAAGTCATTTTAACAATTTCACCTTCTTGATCCATCAATTTAGCAATATTGGTTCTTAAGTCAATTATCTAGAATTCCAAGCACCACAGAAGAGCTCGTCCCCACAGTCATGTGTGAAGGCTGAGGACATATTTTGAAGAAAAAAATGTTTTTCTGCAATTTTAACTGCAATAATCTATACATGAGTATGAAATATATTATTTAAATGACAAAGAAAACAAATGACAAATAAATATTATAAAATATATAATGAAAGTTGTCCCCAGGAGTCGTGTCACTGGTGTTACTGTGTAACAAAAATCTCTTATTTTGAAATAAAAGTCACACTGATGACATCACTCGACTTCCTTTTACCTGTTTTCTGAGGATCTATGAAGAAAAGCTCATGGTGAGTCCACTGAGTCTTTCAGTTATCAGAGATTTTCTCATTTAGCTCATGATTTCATATGAAGCTTTTAGCTGAAGTCACTGGAGTGACCGACTTTATTCTGAGGTCATTGTGAAAAAATAGAATATAAATGGATTAAATTCCATATTTTAGTGGATATTCCATGATTGACTACATGTGGTTTGATGTTCTGTAGCAGTTATTTTGTAAAACACATTGTTCATTAAAAATGTCTCTGGTGTTCCTTTATTATGTGGAACACCAGTGAGGATCAGTAACACCAGTGACTCCCATGGACAGATAGAGAAGTGGACGTTTCTGTAGAATGACCCGTAACTTATTGATTAGCATGTAGCTCAGTGGCTAGGCTAGCAGTCAGGATTGGTTGACAACACAGCGATTCCCATTGGTCGTATGATGCAACTCCATAGTGCATGCTGGGTACTGTAGTGAGAGAACACTCACAAACAAAAACAAGATAAAAATGCCACAAATAGCATTTGGACTCTAGTTCTAGTCCAGAGTGCCTCATTATGAACCTGTAGCAGAGCTTTAGGTTCTGCTTTCCATCTCCTTAAACTGATGTTTTGGGCAGTGTAAGAACAGAAGAAGCTTCTCTTGTAATAACAGCTCCTGTATTTTTAAATCTTTGCTGTCATTCTTCAAAAATAACATTCAAGTCATTTTCATTGCATTTAAAAATAAATAAACATTCACCAAATCACACAAAGTACAATGATTTAAGAACAAAAATATTGTTTTTTTTAAGAATGAGTCTTCAGACACATGATTCAAAATAAAAGACTAAATATAAACAACTTCAGCTTCAAGTCTTTAGCACGATAAAGACCTTAATAAAAATGTTTTTTTGGCATTAATAAAGCAGCATGTTGCAGCCACTTTGACACAATAACAGAAACTCTCAGTAGAAACTAACAGTCCAAATAAAAAACGCTGTCATAACCATTTCCATTAGAATTAACTGCAGCAGCTGCTTTTGTTGACCGTCTGATCCATTACTGAGGTAATGCTTGGTCAGCTCCAGTAGGGGGCAGGGTTATTTAGCCTTCGCTCGCTTTGTGGAGGTGGAAACGACAGCATCTGCAGACTGAACACAGCAAGACAATTTCAGTGTCATTCATTATGACGCAGTGACGATAAACTTTACAATAAAAAATAGAAACTCTAAAGAGCTCATGCCTTTATTTTTTTCTTGAGGTCCACTTATGATGTGTTTGGTTTTATGTACCAAAAATATGTCCTAATTTACTTTTACATGCACTTTTCCCCACTTCTCTTCATCCTTTAGCATTAAACAGGCTGTTTTTGTTTCAGTACCTCTGAGACCAATATGTATAAATAACCTTCTGATATAAATTAATGACTGCTCTGATTGTTTGCCCTGAATGGGCGGAGCAAAACTGATGAAGCCTGAATAGGTGGAGCTAAACTGCTGAAGCCTGAATGGGTGGAGCTAAACTGCTGTAGCTGAATGGGAGGAGCTAAACTGCTGTAGCTGAATGGGTGGAGCTAAACTGCTGTAGCTGAATGGTGGGGCTAAACTGCTGTAGCTGAATGGTGGGGCTAAACCGCTGTAGACTGAATGGGTAGGGCTAAACTGCTGTAGGCTGAATGGGTGGGGCTAAACCGCAAAAGGAGAATGGGCGGGGCTAAACTGCTATAGGCTGAATGGGTGGGGCTAAACTGCTGTAGACTGAATGGGTGGGGCTAAACTGCTGTAGCTGAATGGGAGGGCTAAACTGTTGTAGACTGAATGGGTGGGGCTAAACTGCTGTAGACTGAATGGGTGGGGCTAAACTGCTGTAGGAGAATGGGCGGGGCTAAACTGCTATAGGCTGAATGGGTGGGGCTAAACTGCTGTAGACTGAATGGGTGGGGTTAAACTGCTGTAGGCTGAATGGTGGAGCTAAACTGCTGTAGGCTGAATGGGTGGGGCTAAACCGCAAAAGGAGAATGGGCGTGGCTAAACTGTTTCCACATATGGACTGTATTCCCTGGGAAGTGAACTTTAACAACTTTTACATACTACATCTTTTTTCTTTTCCCCTGACAGAGATCCTGTAAAACAGGAGTGTCCAGTCTTATTCACAAAGGGCTCTCTGCAGATAAGACTGGACACCCGTACTTAAAAATGTCTAATTATTTTTATTTTGTTACCCGTCTTTTCCTTGTGACTCGAAAGAATTCATCCAGTCGTGACTGTCTGGTTCTTCCCTCTTTCTCCTCATCCTCCCTCTGTTTCCTCCGCTTACTGAGAGTCTGCCGAAACTTCTCCATCCGCCCTCGAACCCTCTCCTCCCTGAAAGAGGAACCTAGAGGTTATTCTACTGATGAAGCATCTGCTGTAAGAATCAGTTCAGAAACACTTCCCATTTATAAGACCATTCGAATCGAGGATCTTTCCCTTTGAAATTAACTAGGCCTCCTGGCTTTTATTCCCCTTGGGTTACTATAATTATTCCTGTAATCAAATAATCAATCAACTTACTATACGATGGTAGTGCAGGTGCAGCAAAACAGTAGAAGTCTTATCTACCGTGTATTACAATCTGTCAGAATGACACTATAAGTCATTACAGATCACTTTTTAAATGAAACAGTAGAAGCCTACACTTCCTGTAGTGTATTACAGTCTGTCAGAATGACTGTGTGGATCATATGAACATTATAGAACTTTTTAAATTAAACACTAGAAGCCGTATCGCCCCCTACACTTCCTGTAGTGTATTACAGTCTGTCAGAGTGGCTGTGTGGATCATATGAACATTATAGAGGCTTTTTAAATGAAACAGTAGAAGCCATATCGCCCCCTACACTTCCTGTAGTGTATTACAGTCTGTCAAAATGATTGTGTGGATCATATGAACATTATAGAGGCTTTTTAAATGAAACAGTAGAAGCCATATCGCCCCCTACACTTCCTGCTTTATTAGATTTCAGGTTCACGTTAGAACAAATACTTACTTCACATGTTTCTCCACACACAAGAACTTCACCAGTCCCTCCTCGTCCGGGTCGCTCCAGCTCAGCTTTGGGGGGTCAGTCTGGGGCACCTCCAAAAACAGCCTGCGGGCAGCCTTGAACTGCCAGCCTAAAGGAACAGGGTGCGTCTGGAAAAGAGAGCATGATTTTAGACCAAAACAGAGTATTTAAAGAGCCAAAATCCTATACTTTACTTGTAATTTATTTTGCTCTCTGATGTCCTCTCTATGTGGACATCAGGGACATTTATGTGGTTCCATCCTCCCTTTATCTCATAGAATTAAACAGGCTGTTGTAATTGGACCCTGCTCTGATTGGCTGTCCTGTATTGTGCCTCATTTAAAAAGCATTCTGGACTGAAACACTCAGTGTTGAAATCTCAGTGTGAACGGTCAGAGCTGAACTGCTGTAGGGTGAGTGGGCAGGGTCAGTCGACTGTAGGCTGAATAGATGGAGTAGATGAATATATGTAAATGTGTTTTAAAAAACAGTATAAACAGGCTGCTTTGGCAGGTCATTGTCCTTATACAGACTGTATGTACAGTGGAGCAAACGGTACTTTCTGAAACCTTTACAGTGCTTACAGACTACAACAAACTCTATTATTTAAAAATGAGGGAAAAAGGTGTTTTTCCTGATATGGGCCCTTTAAAGCAATTCTTCATAGCTGAGGAAAAGCCAAAAAATCTGTGTTCCTTATAACTACTTCACTTTATACCTAGGAGCTACTCAATGTAATGTAAATGTATAGATTCCTGCCAAGATAAGCGGCTCTCTTACGACTGTTATACACCAGGATGTATATCCAGAGTCCCGTCTTTGCAATGTCATTTCTTCTGACTGTCAGCTGGTGCCATTCGGGAGGTTTGGTAATACTGGAGTTTGTGAAATGCAATAGTATTTCTACAGTTGCAGTCTGGAACACTTTAAGGCTGCATATCATAAAACCAAGAGTCTGAGTCAGATACCTTTCTGTTGATGTTCTGCATCACGTGCTCTATGGTGCGGTGCTGCTGGATCAGCTTCAGCGCTCGGCTCGGGCCCAGACCCGTTATTTTATCACAGTAATCACAGCCCAGTAATATACACAGGTCAACAAACTGAAACACAAATTAGGAAACATTTCTATAAAGTTATTCATCCACATTTAAACAAGATTTTCTATAATGAAATAAGTACAACACTGTCAGTGCTGTTTGACTGAGAATGAGCTGAAACTGAACAGTAAAGGGAACAGAATTTACCTCTTCCTGTGTCAGCTGTAGAGCTTCCAGTAGCTTTGGCAAGGAGTACTCAGTGACCTCACTGCAAATTTGAGAATCAGAGAATTTATTAAATTCACATTTATGTCAGTCAGGCTTGACATAGTACTGCAGTCAGAGGCTGAATGAACTGAGAAAGAATTTGGGCGTCAGAAAAAAAATTCCACAGAACCCTCAACAGCCAAATCTACTCTCAGCTGTTTGAGTGTTCAGTGCGTCACTCTTTCCCTTTATTCCAGCTTCCACTCTTTTCAGGAGACTCACTTGCAGCTCCTCAAAGAATCTGCAGACACACCTCCAAAGTTCAGTCTTAGAAGCTGGTTGATAATTTTCTGAAGTGATCAAACACATTCAGTGGTGTTGAGGTCTGGACTCTGGGGTGGTCAGTCCATCGTTCAGCTTCTTTCTTTGATGTGTCCGTCTCCTTTTCTCAGTGAGGTTCTTCTTGATCAGCTACACATCCTTTCAGACCCACAGCGCTGAGTCGTCTTCTCACAGTGGAAGGATGGACAGAAACACCTGTGGATGTTTTCAGATCTGAAGCAGCTTGATTTTCTCCTCTCTCTCAGAGATGAAAGCTTTAAGTGCTGTTTATCTGATGGGGGCAGTTTTGGGGTCTACCAGGTCTTCCAGGTGGTTGTTAGGAGCCACATTTTCTCTGTGGCTTTTAATCAGTTTTTGAGCTCCAATGTTGGAAATCCCTGTTTATTTTCCCTCTGTATAGAGTAACTAGCATCCTGCTTGTTCCTCACCTGTCTCTCTTTGCATTGAGTTGGCGAAGCAGGACGGTTCCTCCAAACGCCAGTGTGTCCATGTCCTCTGAGGCCACAGCATCGACTACACCGCTTCTAACCAGGTGTGCACACAGCGCCTCCCCGTCTCCCGGAGCCTGGCAGGAGGAGCAGTGTGAAAGGCTATGAACTCTTTGGTCAGAGTGAGAGAGCTTAATGGATCATAAGGAATTTAAATTGAGTTAATAAAGGTGTAATTACCATGACATAGGGCACACCCATGAGCTCCAAGAGACGGAGGAATTCCTGAGTTTTGGTGGACACTAGAGGAAAGAGTGAAAATGGAACTTATGGAACCAAAATACCAAAATCATGCTGTAATTTTTTATGATTTTTTTTCTACCTTGTAGTTCATTGGCACAAGTGGAGAAATTGTGTAAAGTTCTGTTAAGACTTCTCAGCTTTACTGGATGAAAGCTTGGTCAATGCAACCTTTGAGTAAAACTTGCATCATTCCTATTGGCTCTTGGTGGCATATTGGGCGTGTCTTTCCACCTTGTTTAACCTACCATCTCTGTGTTGTCACTCTCCCCAGCCTACCTTCCCTTGGGCGCTTACTTATGTTCTAAATTTTTGAAGCTCATCTAATCTCAGTCAGTGCTGACTGCAAATCAGTGCTGAGTTGAGCTGCCATGACCCCACCTGCTGACTGTGGTTCTGAACACTTCAGACCACTTCTGCATTCTGGGCTGAACTGTCAGTATGGGGCGAGATGGTCCAGAGCAGTATTAAGTTAAACTGTTTAAGGCATTCTTGCCAAAAATGTTCTGCCATTCAGCATAAATTTGTTAAAATTAAAGCCTAGTTTAGCTTTTAATCGAAGAAACTAGAGTTGTGTAAAGGCAGTAAATATATGTTAGAATTACTTAACTGTACTGAGTTAGTACCATTATTCCATAAGTCCAAAATACTCAATCATTTTAAGATCAAAGGAGTGATTTACTCAATTTACTTAGGTGTATACAACAATAAACAAAGGTGTTGTTCATACTCAGTTCAGGGCATTACTCATGGTCAAATGATTTAAGTAAACTAAACTTAAATGGTTTCCTTAAACCATTTAAGTTCACTGAACTCATTAGTTTTCACAGTGTACCTGTGTTGGAGCGATGTGAGCTGCTCCAGCCTGCAGTCTGTGCTCTTTTCTCCAGCTGATGGGACAAAACAGTAAAAATATCTCATCCCTGATGTTTATGTGTGATGTCTGTGAGGTTTTATATGTAATTCTTTTTTTTGTGACAATTTCCATCCTCTCTTAAAATTAAACCAGCTGCTTTTGTTACTGTGCCTTTAAGACTGATATGTAAATGAGCTCTGCCCTGATTGGCTCTCCTTTACTGTGCCTTATTCCAAAAGCAGTCTGAGTTGAAACACTCAAAATCAGCATGAATGGGTGGAGCTAAATGGCAGATGTGGATTTAGACTTCTCGTTATTTTTTAACATTTTGGCATTATAAGGCTGTGAGGCTGTTTATCTACCGTCTCCTGAATCGTGAGAAAAGGATAAACCTTAAAAAAGCACCTCAAATTTATCTTCTAGTGTTACATGGTCAATAACTCAGTCTATGGACTAACAAACTTTAATCTGATTATAAATATGATTCTCACCACTGCGCTCTTCTGACTGGGAGGCTTCCCATCGAACACAAAGACCGGCTTGATGTCGTGCTCCAGGAACGTGAGGGTGCGGTAGAACAGGCCGAGGTGAGGGCTGTGGGACAACAGGAGTTATTACGCCTCAAGTACAAACATACTATACGTTATAATGATGTTATATAACTATATTACATTGCTATTCATTACCTTATATACACACTTTAAAAAGATGGTTCTTCAAGGGTTCTTTAGTAAAGAAAATGGTTCGTAATTAAGCATTATGAAAGCATTATTCAGATTGCTAGTAAATGTGCTGTAAATGATTCTATATAGAACCTTTTTGAAAACGGGTTCTATCTAGCACCAAAAAGCTTCTATTGTAACAAGCTTGACATCATAACTAAATAACAATTTGGTGCTATACAGAACTGGTTCTATATAGAACCATCTACAGCACATTCTCCATCAATCTGAAGAACCCTTTTATGATGCAAATAACCCTTTAATCATGCAAAGGGCTCTTTGAGTGTTCATGGTTCTATATAGAACCATTTTCTTTACTAAAGAACCCTTGAAGAACCATCTTTTTTATCAGTGAAGTTTAGGGATCATACATGGGCCTAAACGTTCAGAGTCAGTTTTGTCTACTATGAAGCATTTTACACCAAACCACTCTGAATGACTTTAACATCTCAACGATTGAATTAATTCACAGTAATTTTAAAAAAACTGGTGGAATTCCTCTTTCAGCCCTTTAAATCTGTATCTGACCTGAGCTGCAGCCTGGGCACAGCTGAACGAAACTGGTTCAGAACAATTGAGGTATCGAGTGCGATCACTTTTCCTAGAAAACAAACAACAAAACACAGAGATTAATAAAAGTATGCAGTATTTGTCCGTCTGAGGGACACAAAGCATGCTTTACATCTGTTTAACACCAGAATAAGGTTAAACCACACTGACATGTAGCTGGTTACAAGGGAACTCCACTTTTTTCCCCACATAATTAAACGGTTAAGAAGTAAACAAAGTCAGAACAGTTCTCCTGAGTCAGATCTGTTCACAGTGGTGGTGATAGGAACCAGACGTCCACCTCTAAAAGCTCCCTCACAGAAAGTTCCTACATGAAATGGTTATGAATTCACTGCCTGATGACTGAGACACTGTTTTATGATAGTTTTGAGAGGATTTTGGCTTTAAAATCCATTCATGGTGGAGGGAGACATGCAGAGAAAATAGTCCCCAAAGAAAACTTACTATTTCAGATTTTCCACTATTTTCCATCATCAACATTCCATATAAACTCAGAAGACTCGTGTAGGTTCACTGGTGGTTCTGGATAGTAAATAAAATGTCTATATGTGTGTTGTAGTCATGGCGACCCCTGGTTCCTATCACCACCACTGTAAAGACATCTGAACCACTTCACACCAAACCACTCTGAATCAGTTCTGGATGAATTTTGATGGGTGGAATTCCCCTTTCACTTGACTTAAATGCCAGATTAAGAACTGATGCCCTCAAAACCTTTATGAAATGTATTCCCCCTTTTTTCAACCTTAAAACCTATTATCCAGGCACTAACTCATCTAAATAAACACCCCGAAAAGTAAACAGACCAGCTGGCTCACTGAGCCAGTCCAGCCGCGGCTCCTGTTGTTAATGCTGGCTTGCGGCGCTCAGGCTAGGCTAAGCTAAGCTAAGCTAAGCTAAGCTATCTCCCTATTTAACAGACCTTACCGCTGTAATCTCCGATCTCTTTGTAGGACACCGAGCCCGGGGCGTCGCCGCGGATTAAATCTGCCAGTTTAGTGATTCCCATTCTGCATGATTAGCTTTAAAACCCTTAATTCAGCTGGAGCTGAAACCTTCGGCGGGCTGCAGCGTTTCGTAAATGAGGGGAATGTCCCTGTTCGCGCTCCGTTCGGCGTGGAGCAGCGAGGGAACGGGTTTGAAAGCGGGGCTGCAGAAATGTGAGCTTGGATTAATTTGGCTAAAACGCTAATTAGTTCAATTTAGAAACCCCCTACAGGCTGTAAGACCACCCGGACGGGCTTATTTGACTCTTCAAGATGGAGCAGGGGCTGGAAATGTCAGCTATGATTCCCGCTCTGCAGGAGTTGGCGAGGTAAATACAGTGTTTACATCCACAGAGTCGGACAAGACTTATATATAACACATATACACCGGTCAGGCATGACATTATGAGCACCTCCTTGTTTCTACGCTCATTGTCCATTTTATCAGCTCCACTTACTATATAGGTGCACTTTGTAGTTCTACAGTTACAGACTGTAGTCCATCTGTTTCTCTGATACTTTGTTAGCCCCCTTTTACCCTGTTCTTCAGTGGACAGGACCCCCATGGACCCTCACAGAGCAGGTACTATTTGGGTGGTGGATCATTCTCAGCACTGCAGAAACACTGACGTGGTGGTGGTGTGTTAGTGTGTGTTGCGCTGGTGCGAGTGGATCAGACACAGCAGTGCTGCTGGAGTTTTCAAACACTGTGTCCACTCACTGTCCACTCTATTAGACACTCCTACCTTGTCGGTCCACCTTGTAGATCATCTGCTGCTGCACAGTTTGTGTTGGTCATCCTCTAGTCCTTCATCAGTGGTCACAGGACGCTGCCCACAGGATGCTGTTGGCTGGATATTTTTGGTTCTCAGTCCAGCAGCGACACTGCGGTGTTTAAAAACTCCAGCAGCACTGCTGTGTCTGATCCACTCAGACCAGCGCAACACACACTAACACACCACCACCACGTCAGTGTTACTGCAGTGCTGAGAATGATCCACCACCCAAATAGTACCTGCTCTGTGAGGGTCCATGAGGGTCCTGACCACTGAAGAACAAGGTAAAAAGTATGCAGAGAAACAGATGGACTACAGTCTGCAATTCTAGAGCTACAGAGTGAAACTATATAGTCAGTGGAGCTGATAAAATGGACAATGAGTGTAGAAATGAGCTGGTTTTAATATTATGGCTGATCGGTGTATATATGGGCAGAAGTTCTTATTCAGCAGCTTCTTAATTGACTTTCTCGTTCCACCTTAAATGGTGCAGTTCTGAGCCGTTCATTCTGAGTACATTCTGTTGCCTGTGGTTGCCCCAATTAAGGTGGAATGAAAAATTCAAACAAGCAGCTGACATATAAGAAATAAAAAGCTAACTACACCTTCTCCTCGGTGTGTGGCTCCACTGTACAGTGTCTGCATCCACTGTGTTGCGGTTAAGGCTAATGAAGTCTCTGTTTCAGTGCCTCTTCAGAGGAGTACAACCACACTGTACAGAAACCTCGTCAGATCTTATGTCAGTTCATAGACAGGATCCTGACTGACGTTGATGTTGGTAAGCAGCTAAAACAGTGCACTTCATACGCTTCATACATTCTCCCTCTCTGTTATAAACCAAGGTTGTGTTTAACCCCGAGTTACACTGTTGTGTCTTCTTGTTTCAGTGGCGTTGGAGCTGTGTAAGAAGACCTCTGCTGAGCCAGCCTGTGTGATGCTCCTGGACTTTGTTCAGCACATCATTAAATCCTCATCGTTAATGTTCATTAACCCTGCGTGTCAGTCAGAGCAGTATAAAGACGTGGAGAACAGCTGCAGTGGTGAGTTCTCACTCAGTGTCCACCGTGTCCATTACAGGACAGTGTTATGTGGGCTGTGTACGGTGGTGATGTACTGTTTAGCATGGTAGTGTGCGGTTTTGGACGCAGCCCTGAACAGGGTCTAATTATCCAAACACCTTTTACAGATTTATCAAATAATCTGATTTATCTAATAGATAATAAAATAATATAATTAAAAAATGTATAATCTGATCAATAATCTGCTGTATCTAATTAATAATATATATTATAATAACATATATATGCACATATTATCTAATGAAATGTATTTGTTTATATCTAAATATATGCAATCATAATAATAAACATAGATAAACACACTAATCTGATTTATGTGAATATCCTATATCTGCTTATAATAAAATCTGCTGTCTTTTACAGATGAATCTAATAATCCAATTGGTCTAATAACATATAAAAAAAACACACACACATACATATATATATATATATATATATATTTATATATATATATATATATATGTATGATTGCAATAATTCATCATAAATATATAATCTTAATGATATGTTTATCTTTTACAGATTAATAATATAATGTATCTAATAATATGGAATATAATAAAAGTTATATAATCTGAACAATAATCTAATTGATCTAATTATCCTATAATGATAGTGTATATATATCAATCATAATCATACATATACAATCATAATAATCTGATCAAATTGTCTAATAATCTCCTGTCTTTTGCAAATTTGTCTAATAATATGATTTAACTAATCGCTTAATAATAATATATGACATGATATAATCTAATTTATGTAATCGTCTGATAGCATATGCTGTAATCATAATATGATTTACGTAATTATCTGATAATATATAATAAATCATTAGATTTTTCGAGTTGTCTATTAATCTGCTGTCTTTCACAGATTTCAGTAAGTGGATCATCGTCCGTCTGCTGCGGATCGCCGCCGCTCCAGAATGTGCGAGCCTTCATGGAAAGATCTCCTCCGTCATCTGCTCACTGCTTCAGCTGTTCAGAGCGAAGGGCCCCGTCACGTTCGGCGTGTTTGGTAGGGAGTTTATTGGGACGCTGCAGGATCTGGTGCAGCTGCAGACGCAGTCCGTGGCGTCCCCGCCGAAGTGGCCGGCGTCGGTGGAGCGTTTCGGTGCCAATCCTGCTGATGCTGTTGTTTATCTGACTCCCACCACACTGCAGATAAACTCAGGAGCCTCAGCTCAGGCCCTGTTAGCAGCTACGCTGACTGTGCTCACTGACATGCTGCAGGGAATGTTCTTCCCCAGAGAAGTGGGACAGATCTGGGACGCGTCCTGTGCCGTCCTGTGCGGCGGTAGCCCCAGGCTGAAGGCCGTTAGCATGGTGCTGCTGACCCGCATTGTAACTTTAGGAGGATTTCCTGAAGGTCATTCTCAGGTCTTCTTTGCTGCTTATCTGTCTCTCTTGGACTCCTTCAGCTCTTATAAAGAGTCAGAAGCGAGAATCTACAGCACCGAGTTCCAGAAGCTGACTCGCTGTGTTTTCATCTCGGAGAGAGGCGCACACGCTCGGTTTGAGAGGGTTCACCTCAGCATGCTGATGGAGAGCCTGCACAGGCTGGTGCTGAGCGGAGCCGTGGAGCAGATAAAGCTGGAGGAGATCAGGACGACTCTGTGTGAGATCTTCTGCTTTATTCTGGACTTTGTGCCTCTGGGGTACGAATCGGCTGCTCTGATCCGGAGAGAGAGGGTGACGGCCATCTGTAAAGCCATGGTCAATGCTATTGGAATTCAGAGGGACCAGAAGGTGAACGCATCTCATCAGTAACCAGGGGCCGTATTACAGACAGTTCTTAAGTCTGAGATCTGCTTTGTTGTCATAGCAGCTTCAGTTAAGACTGAAGTTAGGACAGAAGCCATTACATTACAGAGTTCTTAAGTCTATGATCTTATTTCCAGATAAGAAAACGGTTTTACAGAAAGTTGCCAAAATATCCTAAATATTGTCTTAACTTTAAGATGAACACCAGAGCGTCTTAACTTCTGTTTAACCGTCTGTTTCCGTTGCATAGTTCACTACCAGCATATTGAGCTCCATTTATTTCTACTGTAAAACGCTGCTTTCACTGTGAGATGATTTTCTTTTCTAACTCTGCGTTTTAAAGATCTCAGACGCTGCAGACTCGATCTCCACCGCCCCTCTGATCACCTTCGTGTGTTAATGTTGATGATGAAATATTACAGTGATGGTGGTGAATAATGAGGAGGCGGAGCTGAACGTGTGTCTGTTTATTAGGAGGAGTAACGTTAGCACGCTCGGCTAAAGCGTTTGGGGAATGGAGACTGAAACTGGGGAGCGGCGACGCTCTGATAAACAGCAGGGGGCGCTCTCACGATATTCACAATGTACAGTTCATCACACTTTAGTTTTATTTGACTTTTTTTTACCCCAGTAACGGTAGCTAACGTTAGCTGTCTGACTGACTAACTTGATTACGTGTTTACGCTTCAGCTGTGTGCGTGGGGTCGGTTGCTAGGAAACAGACACGACAGTTGATTGTCAACTTCAGTCGAGTAAGTTAAGATTTCCTAACTGGAGATAAGAGGCTGTAAGATAAAATATGATTCTTAAATTAAGATCAGATTTGCTTCTGTAATATGAATTTGTGAAAAATCTTATCTTGACCTGTCAGACAAAAAGACAATAATTTTCTGTAATGCGGCCCCTGGAGTGTTAATCAGGGCCTGACTGATTTTAAAATTTAATGGTATATTATTTATACACATATATGTATATACAACAGAACTTACTGTATTTTCACTCTATCAAAATGAGTTCATGCTTTATGAGATAGTTATGATAATGGTTTAAATCTAAATATTTGTGTGAAAATAAAGAAATATAATAATGTAAAATATTGTTACATAAATAGAAAGTAGAAAAAAAATACATATGTATATACACACACATATAAAAGAGTGCATATCTTTCTACAGCTCTCCACCTCCAGACTGAGGCCTGTTTACAGTGTTACACCCCTGTCTGTATCACTGCACTGCTGCTCAGAGTCTGCTCTGATTGGAAGATGTGGAAACCTGACTGTGTGTTGTTTGTGTGTGACAGTATGTGGAGGGTTACCTGTGTGCGGCACTGACAGCTGAGGGACTCGCCGCTCTTCAGGATTCACAGAGCAGCGTTTGTGACTCAGTGGAGCCCCCCAGAGGATACGCTGAGGAGATTCCAGCTAAGAGAATGCTCCTCTCTC